TTGCCGAAAATATTTTTTGGGCGTGATGGACCATTAGTCTCATAATAGGCAGAACATAACAATTATCTTTATATAATTTCAATGGCTCCTTTGGAGCCTTTGTAAGACAGCCAGCCATGTTTGTCTTAGTTGGAACTTTGGAATGCTATGAGTGGATTGTATTTGAGCATGGAAGATGTGAGGTGTAATGCTTAAGTACACAGTGTTTTTTGTGTGCTTATATAATTTTAAATGTTAAGGTTTCATTTTAAACATTTTGCATTTATGCAAATTCTAAATTGAGATATGGTGATGAAAAATACAAAGAGGCTGTATTGCTATCATAAGTTTTTAGAAGCAGTGGTCCACATAATCTTAGTCTTGTTCAAACCTCTAATTTTACAAGAAATGTAAGATCAGAGTTTAAAAGTAAACATGGCACATGCTATTAATTTTACGACACCTCACACATCTCAATTTCTTCTCCCGAGTTCCACAGTTAAAAAGTCAACATCCGACCATCAAGGTCTGCTCTTCCTCGTGTCCCATCATTACTTTAGGCCTTCCCCTTGGTAAATTACTTCTAGGTGCTTACTTTAAAGCCTGTCTTGGTAATATACCCTCCGCCATGCCACACATGTGCCCCACTCATATTGTCTAATTAATGTCTACAATACTTTCCTACCACACTCTTTTTCTAATTATTAAAAGTTACTGTATCCTGTCATGCAGTTCTTTGGATGAGGAGCATTCTCCACACAGACCTTTGTTCAAAGAGCAAGGGATCTATAGACTTTCTGCATTAGTCACATTGCAGCCACAGTCAAATCTATGAATGTGCCTCTCCCATAATGTTATGGTCTGTGGAAGAGCAGAAGCAATACAATCCTAGTTCTTTACACCATTGTTTTTTTACCTTTTTATCTGGCAACAAAACTGACACCTTTTTTTTACAAGGAGTCATGTTTGCATTGACCACAATACCTACGGTCGGAATGCAAACAAAAACATAACTATAGGAATAGGTTTTACCCTTTTAACTGGCACAAAAACTGACACCTTTATTCAAGGCATCATGTTTGCAATAACCACAACACAAGCAGTCAATGCTTGTTTGCATTTTGCTTGTTTGCATTTTGACTGCTTGTGTTGTGGTTATTGCAAACATGATGCCTTGAATAAAGGTGTCAGTTTTTGTGCCAGTTAAAAGGGTAAAACCTATTCCTATATCTTGTTTCTGGCAAAGGAGGTCTCATAATGTAAAAAACATAACTCTGATAATGTATGCACTGTCCTTGAAATTGATTGGTCCACACCCGAGACAGCTTTCCGTAGAGCCTCGTCTCACATGGTGTTGGACCAGATGACGCCAAAAGGCGCACAACTCAAAGACAATGCACCATCACAGTATGAGAGCTCGGGGTAAGCATTTACACCATTGGAACCTCCTTTGCCAGTAGCAAAATATGATTGTTTTGTTTTAAATGTGTCAGTTTTGTTGCCAGATAAAAGGGTAAAAAAAACAATTATCAATCCTAGTTCTCTCTATTGTGGAAAGGATCAATTGTGTTCGATTCCATAAACAAAACAAACAGTGAAAGTTAATCTTTTGGGTTTTGCTTTTATACATTTTGTTAAAAAAAGGTTTCTGGAGAAAACAGAAACACGTATGCCAGCTTGTTTTCCCCACGACAGGAGAACTGGTATGCATTGTGATGTGGGGGACCAGTACCGCAGATCCTTTCATCTGTAGGGCTATCCTCGATTTTACTCTTCTGCGGGAAAAAATGTTTGTGGATGACCTGTGGATAATAGGTTGAATTTGCCGTGTGACTCCCATTATTTGCAAAAAATCGTAAAAAAGAGTAATTACATAATACCTGGTTCCTGCAGATAACCCTGTAGGTAATAGGGTGAATTTGTCATGCAACTCTTATTTGTGAAACATCTGAGGTAATAGGTGTTTTTAAAGTTCAGCAGGGGTCGTTGAAGCACCATGTGTTTGCATATGAGTGCAAACCCGTGGTACAGGAGTTTTCGCGAAACCTACAGCTGCTGCGAATTATATGAGTCGTGGGTAGTAGGGCTGTAGATAAGAATTTTCCTGTAATTGCCATTGGCTTTGCAGCCTTCCTCAATGCTGAGAAAAAAACTACAAGAGTAAAACCTGCTTTTAAATGGTAATAGTGGTTGCAAAATATGCAAGTCACACGACCAAACCATTTTGAAAAAATAGTCCATAACATGACAACCAACTGGGGGTCCAGAGGTGAGCTCTGACATGCATTGTATCATTAATAAACTGAACTGGAAATATTCAGCAGCATGAGGCTCGTGATTGAAATACTATAGTGAAGAGTGGTATCTAAAACATTTAATTAGTAAAAAAATATAAAATTTCAAATATAGGGAAATGGAAACCTTTCTAAGATATTCACAAATGTATACCTTTTTTATCGTAACTAATAAACGAGAAGTGAACATATCATGGGACCACCTTTGCCAGTACCAAAATATGAGAATAGGTTTTCCCCTTTTTTCTGGCAACAAAACAGGTGTTAAGATGTTACAACAGCAAACTGAAACCTTTTACAAGGAATCATGTCTGCATTAACCACAATACTTGTGGTCAGAATGGAAACAAAAACACTGATAATATATGCATTGTCTTTGAAACTGATTAGTCCACACCAAAGACAGCTTTTTTTGAACCGTGTCTTAAAACGGTGTTAGACCAGTCTAGCAAAGCAGTGGTGTCCTCTGGTCTCAGGCGTTGTCCTCTGGTCTAACACCGTTTTGAGACTAGGCTCAAAAGAAAGCTGTCTCTGGTGTGGACCAATCAGTTTCACAGACAAAGCATATATTATCAGTGTTTTTTGTTTCCATTCTGACCACAAGTATTGTGGTTAATGCAGACATGATTCCTTGTAAAAGGTTTCAGTTTGGTGTTTTAACATCTTAACACCTGTTTTGTTGCCAGAAAAAAGGGGAAAACCTATTTTCACGAGAAGTTAACATGTAAATTTTGATTTAAAGCTTTCGTGACTGCAGTAATTCATATTCTTAGTTTTTTCGGTAAAGTCACGTTGAAGAGAAACAACAGAATAACAAAATATATATAAAACAATAAAAAAAATTCTCACGACGTTTCGACCATAACTCAAACGGTCATCATCAGGTGTGTGAGAATTTTTTATTGTTTTATATATATTTTGTTATTCTGTTGTTTCTCTTCAACGTGACTTTACCGAAAAAACTAAGAATAAGTTAACATGTTTCAAAATATTGTGCAAAAATGGCGCAAGACAGTTTTGTGCCCACCTAATTCAAACACTCAAGCATAATTACAACACGACATGTAAGGTGGCATTACCCATAACTAAAATAAGTGGAACTGAAATATAAACATAAAATAAAAGCTCTTTGGTCATGTTTAGTGAACCAGTGAACTCAAATATAGTCATATTAAGGCATAAAGCTGTTAGGTGCACAGAAATGCTGCGTGCATGATGGCATTTAAGTGAATAATACAAATAGGGAGTTCCATCAACAGGAAGTGTGCTTAGAAAACGTCATCAGTCTAGCGAAGCAGTGGATGACACGGTTTTTAGTGCGCCCATGCAATCCTCGCAGGTGAGATGGGACCACGCTCCTGCTCGGGACACGGTTGAGCAAGCTTTTGCTATCCTGTAAACCAGCAGTTTGAGAGTAAACCATCAGTGTGATCTTGTAGGTGGTATGTGCTTATGACTAAAAGTTCAGGTGTACAAGATGGACAGTAAATAGTGCATTTATTTACCGTCCCGAGAGATTGAGTGTTATCCCCCGAGAGATTGAGTGGATAGCCCAGTTTCCTTCCACGTGCTAAGGAGTTTACTAACCAATCAACACAAACCTCTTGGGGGACAAAAAGAGCTTAGAAACATGTTTCCTTCTAGAGAACTACAACTGCAACTTTCCTCTCACATGGATATCTCTTTTTACACAAACTTGTGCATAACATGAAAGAAAGATGCATGGCTGACATAAAATATCGAAGATTGTTTGAGAGTTAACTGGGTAGCCTACTGATTGTTACCTGTATGGTCTGTCCAGTCATTTGAGTCAACCCATGGCACTTGGGTCTGTCGCTTGATCTGCCAGCGAGCCTTCGAAACTTTACGTGGCTTCAGTAAACGTCACCCGGCACAAGCGTCGTGGTGACATCACCGCCACTTAGTGGCAAATGGCAGTTGTTGGTTTGTCCATGATTTGAAATCCAACAAATCAATCCCATACTCTTTGGTTCTTTATTTTTCTACACACGTGACTTTACCAAAAGAACCAGAGTATGAATTCCTGCAGTCAAGTTAGCTTCAAATCAAAATCAATCCCAGTTTAATGTGCTTTGGAAACGGGAATTGAATTCCCAATTTTGAACAAAGGGAAATTCTGCATGCCCACAGCTGCTATAATACAGTACTTTGTGTATCACTGATGGTAGGGATGTTGATGATAATTAATGTTTTATAATGTAACGTAGGGAAAACAAACATTAACTTGACCATTTACCACGTTTGATGTAGTAATGTTTAATACTCGTGAAAGTTCCAATTGAAAATGGATTCTTACTTAAATAGATATTTTTAAAATGCCTTTTTGTAGTGTTTTTACATGTATACACAGTACAGTGTATGTATGGGGTGAGTTGCAGGAAGTCTCAAGCCTCATGGGTATTGTGTTAGTGTTTTTTACCTCCACACAATGGGGAGACAGTAGTGAGAAAACAAATCAAATGCACCTTCCTGTATATGCGCTTGGCCGTTTCATATCCTGTCTGAACGTTAGTGCACGCACGTGTAACTTTATTATGCATAGCTTTAGTGTCTGGCTAGGATTCTGTCTGATGTATTACATACATTTGTTTCATATGTGTATCAGTGCTACATTACTCTTGGAAGAAAAGAAGGTATGGGAATAATTCTGTCCAGAGGCATCTCAGGATTAATATTATGGTGTTGTAACCCACTTACTTTGTGCAGTACATCTACAAAGGAGGCATATGGTGAAGAGTCGCTCGATCCTGCCAGTACAGTGTCAAGCATATCATCGAAAGGGTCTGCACGTACTCTGGAGCCTAAGGACATCGTGTGTCATCAGGACACGGTGATGGCTCAGGCTGTCGGCCATGCTGCCACTTACAGCAACTTGGGTAAGTATCATGACTCTTCACCGAACTGCGACATCACATTGAATGAAGGTGTTGCAATGTTTATCTAATAGCTAACAACACATTATTAACCTTTTTTAACAGTTTTCTGAACTAAAATTAAACCTGTTATTATTGTGAATAATCAACTAGATGCAAATAATACCTCTTTCTATGGTGCGGATTGAAGTTTGTTAAATTGTGATAAAATAATCTGAGTACAATTTTAAACGCCTAACATGGTCACGCCACTTAAACGTATGTTCACAATAACATGCATCTGTTTCTTCCAGGCCCTTCAAGGGCCAACGTAATCCCAGTCAAGCAGGGGCGCCAGCATAAAGGGGCCATAACTGACGCCATTGCGTTTGTTGCTGTGGCGAAGGAGAAGTCGGAAGTGCATGACACCCCTCCGCCCCTGCCTAAGAAGCAGCGTGCCAAAGCTGTCTTGACTGCAGAGCCAGCAGGAGCATCGATTTATGCGGATAATGCAGATCTCAAATCTATTTTTAACCCCCTCTATATTGTTGAGGAAGAGCGAAAATCTTGCAGCACACAGTCTTTTGTTTCTAATGGCGCAGATGAAAATGCATCAAAGGGAAAATGTATGACAATCTTAGAGGGTCCAGTTTCTGAAACCACTCGCATAAAAGATCATGTTGGCTGTACAGATCAGAAGAAAGGTATAGTTTACACAGTATCAGAAAAAGATACACTACTCAAGGTTGATGATGACCCGTCATGCATATATACCAAAGTTCGTGACAAATCTAAATCCATGAAAGGGAATGTATACTCCAAGCAACAAAAGAAATCCCTTCTTGGCAGTGCTAGTGCTGTTCAGCTTGCGATTGCTGAAGATATATTGGAAAAGACAGCCCAGAGCTTGGAGAGTGGAAGCAAACCTGCAAACTTCCTATTGACCACTAAAGGACAGGAGCAGAAAGATACAGGAGTGGGTACTACAGTGCCAGCTATGTTGTATGAAGGATTGGAAAGCTCTGAAGAGGTGTTTGCCCGGATCGGTAGCCTGCATGCAGAGACTCTGCATGTGTTGTGTGCAAAGTGTGAAGACAACTTCATGCGTGGCCAGAAGGAACATCTTCGCTTTGGCGTAGAGAGCTGGTCCAATTTCAAGCTAACCAGTGACAAGCCCTGCTGTGATGCCGGCGATGCTGTTTATTATACAGCTTCCTATGCCAAAGATCATGGGCATTTGTACGCAGTAAAGGTAAGTTAATTCTTAACTTATGATATTTTTAAAACATTTGATATCTTTTACTTAAAGTCTTGCAGTAATAATGTACGTCCCTTTGCCAATGTATTGCTAGATTAATGTGTTGCTATGTCGTATCGGTTATATAAATGTTGTTTGGCAGCAAGTCGCCACGCTTGTCAATGCAGATTGATGAAGGGTAGGCCCAGGACAGATATCACTTGGTAATTAAGTTAGCCATGTCTGAGAATGGAACTCAGATTAACGGGTTTATAAAGCACAACTGCACCACCTCTACACCACCCCTTGCAGCAATATACCCATCATAATAAATACTAATTAAAGAGGAAATTGGTTAATTGTTGTGATCTTCAATTAATCCAAACAGTAAAACCTATTAAGACTCGACAGTAGTTAGCCAGAATTGTGCAAGCTCAAAAGGTGACCTGAAAATAGTTAAATAAATTTTTTTGATATATAAACCAAACTCTGATTGGAACACTTCCCATGACAATTTAGCTGTACATGGTGGGATATGGCATAATGGCCCATGCTAATGATGGTGAGAATATTCGAAATGCGTTTCTTAACGCCGGGAAGTGTAAGTCGATTTTTCCCCAGCTACAGAACTGCATTTTGCACCGGAATTTATAAAGGTATATACACATTTCTGTTTGTAAGGAGTTTGGTGAACCCGTTTCCTTTGGATGCCATGTGCTGAATGCTCTCATTATTTCATTCATTTAGCAAGTATGCATTACATACGTGCCCAAAGAGAAACTCTTCAGCCTCCCACATCAAATGAACCTCAGCCTGCCATCTGCTTCATTGTGATAGTAACTTGGATACGGCTAAGGTGTTAACTTTTCAATCTTGCTAGTTGAGAACGTATTTGCTTTGCAACAGAAATTACAGACGAATGTCATGTTCATACTCTTTTCACAATCCTGGACTCGGAGCACTAAGAGTAATTTACTTTTTAAAGGGATGAAATGAGAAAATCTTACATTGTGAGTTTTTTTATATTCTCCAGGATTTAAAGAATATTTTGGTGAAACAATTACATTCATAGGACCATAGATTGGAACAGCAATGTAAAATTAACCGTGTCTTCCAATCTTTTTCTGCCAATTCAACTGATTGATTATTTGTTCCACAGAAAATCCCATTTAGTCCGTAATCCTGCTAGTTTCGATGGCAACGGCCTGCATTCACTCACAATACAGTTATTGTGGAGTTGGAGAGGAGTCCAGCCAGCCAAGGAAACCCGAAACATAGATAATAGTACGATTACAATTTGTGTCTATAATTTTAAATAGGTAGTTAATTGTTATTAAATGCTAAATGTATTACGTGTTAATTGTGTAGCTTTAAATGTAGATACATTTAATTATACATGTAATTATTTTAACATTTCCAGACATCCCCCTTTACCGGAAAGCTCTCCCTTCAACTAACCTGCCTAGCTTTGAGGTGTCAATAAATATACAACCCCAGACAACATTTGGCAGTTGGAAGATGATGATTGTGTAATATGATGTTTTTCTGTTCTTCGAAGAATTGGCTACTCACAATGTTTCTGTACTTAAATGTAAATAACATTGAAAACCCCAAAGTATTTGACAAGTATTTTGGTTTTACGAGATTTGTTGTCAATGAACATTTATCACCACGATTGTTTATATTCAATTGCTGTTTTTTCCATAGTTTCGTCTGTTTTATTTATTTAGGTGCTCATCTTTCCTACCTCCAGTCCAAAGGCTGAGGATATCTTGGTGTTAATTGCCATTTCGTTAATATTTTGCCTTTGAGTTTAACATGTAGGCTTTCGCGACCAATATCATCCATAATAGAGGTTTTTGGGTTAGATCGTGTGAATATATAAATGTGTCGTTAAAACCCGCCACCACCCGGCACAGCCAACTCGTAAGGGTTGTCTCGTAAACAGAACATGCCAATTCGTCACTAGTACAGCACACCGGTGTGTTGGAGAGCCAAGCCACAATATTTACAATATGAGTACGAGGTTTCACCAGTAATTACAATTAGCTTCATCAGGCGACAGACAGATTTGTGGAGAAGTCTTCCTGTTTCGTTCCTTATATAGAGGTGTAGATGTGGTGACCACGCAGCTGCGCTCTTGCACAATGTGGTGGGGGGGGATTACTGAGGCAACGTACCTTATGCATGTGCATTATGCGAGCCCTTTGAACTTGTCGTTCATGTCTATTCTGTTTATTAAAATAGCCCTACCAACTGTAATCCCTATTTAAGTACGCTGCCCTTTGTAGGCATGTATTTAAATAATGTATTATTTGATTATTCGCTTCCACGCAGCACTTAGCCGGTAGCTATCCGAACGCTTAAAGTTATTTTGATTTCTTTCAATTTCGATAGATTCTCTAATTAGCCTTGGCCAGTAGGAGCTAGTTTTGTACAAAACTTCAACATCAAAATCGATTGAGTGTCCTTGTTGGTACGCGTGTTCTGCTACTGTTGACAGTTGTATTTTGGAGAATTTAATATTTATCTGATGTTATTTTAGTCTCGTGCTGATCATTCGTCCTGTTTGCCCAACAACATTTACCATACGTGCAGTTAGTCCTGTACACACCTTCTGTTGATAGCTTCGGTAATACATCTTTTGTACCAGATATTAATTTTTGTTTTATGTACTGTGCCAAATCTGACTCAGATCTTTTGTTTTTCCAAACATCTGGCTAGTTTATCAGTAATCCGGGGTCAGAAAAACCCAGTTCTCTCTTCCACTTATCCCGGGGGGCGTGTCCATATAATTATCTGGGGTTGAAACCACGTTTAAACTGAGTTATTTGCCAAAGACTTCTAATTATCTGGAGTCAGGACCACAAATAAAAGGAGTTATTTGACAAATTGTTAAAAATATCTGGGACAGTCCAGAGTAAAGTGGGTGAACAGATCCTAGGACCACCTCCTGGCAACAAATCAAGTATGGTTCAAATGCCGATGCAGTGTATTCTGAGCTGCATTCTTCAGGTGCTAGTCCTTCAGGCTCTCCTAACATGATGGCAAGCTCCCCAATACCCATCCCTCAAAAGCAATTGCCTAATTGCAGTAGCCCTTTAATGCTGCATTCACACAGTTTTAACCTAATGTTAGGTCACAACATTATTTATTTGTTTCTAGGAGATTCTCGTGTTGTTATAGAAAACCAAGCATATAACTAAACATACACGCTTAATATTTTGTGCTGTTTGGGGCAGTTTTTCTTAGGCTCTGCTATATTTTTCTGACAACCTTTTATTGACTCCTCTTTTCAGGTTGTATACCCTGAGCAGGTTGAAATTTGACCAGCCTTGGTTTTGGTTACTAATTATATATTTTTTGTTACGTTTTGAAGCTACTGTGTAATTGTAATGGTATATACATTGTTGTTTTCAGATTTGTAAGATCGAGGGGAAAGACTCTCAACAGCAATACTATCACAGCCTGGCTGTGCGGCAGAGCCTCCCTGTGCACTTCAATGTGCAGCAGGACTGCGGGCACTTTGTGGCTGATGTCCCGGAAAGGCTGCTGCCATGTGACTGTGCTGCTGCCAGTCTTCGAGATGGGAACCCAGTGTGTACTCAGACAGTGGATCAGGCGAACTCGCAGCCACCGGACCTATCCTCGGTAGACTCGTCTGGTCAGAGCAGGGTGGTGGTGATCACACGAGAGGTACCTTGCAGCAATGTGGCTGATCTGATTCGAGGCTCGGTGAACCTGCACCGCTCCCAGCCAGAGCTCTACGAAAGGCAGGTCGGTGTCATCTGCTGGTACTTTGTAAGGTTGAAAAAAGGTTAATATGTTAAATGTTTGCATTCCTACTTGAGTTGTCTCCTAGTTTATTTCAATATCAGGCCCTTTATGTCCTCCTGAGCCATAGGTGGACATGTGACAATGCTATAGAGCCCGCCATTTCGTGTGATCGCTTCGCAGGTATGAGGTAGAAATAGTTGTAAGGTGATAGATTAAAAATGTACAGAGGGCTCAGAAAGTGCACAGTAAATGATGTTGGTGCCTCTGGCAAGAAAAGGCAAACGGAAGAGTATTGATCTAGAGTTTAAATTATAAGTCTTAAAGCATTTTGAAGCATATTCTTAGCTCTTTCGGTAAAGTCACGTTGAAGGGAAACAATAAAATAATAAAATATATATAAAACAATAAAAATTCTCACGACGTTTTGACCATAACACAAACGGTCGTCATCAGGTGTGAAAAGCAAATGTTTCTTGCCGTTGCTTTTCACACCTGATGACGACCATTTGTGTTATGGTCGAAACGTCGTGAGAATTTTTATTGTTTTATATATATTTTATTGTTTCCCTTCAACGTGACTTTACCGAAAGAGCTAAGAATATGAATTACTGCAGTCACGAAAGCTTTAAATCAAAAATCATTTTGAAGCAGTTGATAAGGCAGTTGATATTGCAAGAATGATTGTCCTATCCACGACCTCGGTGATAACTATTCGAGTTAATGCTGGAAAAATTCTAGAACATCCTCAAAAGATGGCACCTTTAACTGCCACTAAAATAACTCGTATAGCAGATGTAGCATTCTAGAAAATATGGGAAGACTTTTAATTGTCTGGATTGAAGATTTAAATCAGCGTATTTCTTATGAGTAAAATGTAAGACAACTTATAATATCCATTTTTGTAGCCTTTGTGACATTTTTGCACACGTTTATTTTTACAGTAATGTCAGCTAGGAATGCAACCCCTGATTTTAATGTCTGAGAAATTAGTTTGCTTTAAAAAATTTCGAGTGAAGTAGCATTTCCCATTAAAGCATCCCTTACCTACAATGTGTTATTACTATATTTTCTTCTTTTTGAAGTGATGTTCTCGGCTGCATAACATGATTTTTATTTATATTATTGCCTCTCTTATCCAATATACAGGGTGCTTCAAAAATGTTAACACATACATGGCGCTATCGTTTTTAATGGAAAAAGAACGGATAATACACTCGCATGATAACAAATGTATGTTAATAGCTTCAAAAAGTCAGTCTCTACTTGGTCGCCATCATTATCAACACATGCCTGGAATCTTCTCCATGTGGTCTCCAGAGCCTGGAGGCACATTTCTTGTGATATTGTTGCAAATTCTCGTGAGTGTTAACATTTTTTTTGAATCACCCTGTAAATCTCCCAGTGTAACTATGTATGAATGCACTGCATGAATTCCCTGGTAAGGTGTACATTTTCATCAACATCTGAATGAGTCTAAGCACTAGCTTGTCTCTCCTACAGGTATGTCTTCTACTGCTTCAGCTGTGCTATGCACTTGAGCACTTAAAACGGCATCATGTGAGCCATAGTGACCTCCGAATGGAAAATCTATTGCTGGTGGGCGGACACAGTACTGGGCCACCAGGACACAAGGGCATCGAGTCTCTTGGTGCGGAGCTGCCACGACTCATCGTCAGCAATTTCTCCCAGGCTAAGCAGCAGTTGCGCGTGGGGGCACTGGCACCAGAAATGCTGCGAGCGGAGTCGCGCCTCGCGCCCGAGCTCACTACCGCAAGCCAGTACCGAAAATGTGATGAGTTCCAGACTGGCATCCTGGTCTACGAAATGCTGCACCTTCAAAATCCATTTGCTGAACGGCCTGAGCTGCGTGAGAGAGACTACAACCCGAAGGTTAGTCATAGTTTGACATGGAACAATGGATCACGTGATTTTGTTAAACTTTACAATGTTACACCATACACTGGAGCTGCACCCAGCAACAAGGACTTCAGTGTTTTTCAGTCTACAACCAATTTTTTTGCTTTTTAGTGTATAATTAAAGGTTTAAAATGTCTTAAAGATCCAGAAAAAAACATTCCTTTTTTGTATCTGCAAAGTTGGCAGAGCCGAGGTACAAAGTCACCACGACCTCTCTTTCCCTGTCGGCTTTTCAGGGGGTAAAATGCTAAATTAGTCTTAAGTTATGAGTAATTTTGATAACTACTGTACACTTTATAATGGTAACATATGGGGTATACATTAACTAGCACTTACATCTTAAGGGCAGTGCCACCTTGAATTTCTGTACAAGAATAGTTTTTGTCATTTTAAAAAAACAGCTAAAAAGGAAGAAAGTGTTTGAGTTTCTCATTGAGAACTTATCATACACCTTTCATTCTAAAAGATAAAAAAACTACAAATACTACTTTAGTTTAGCCGTACATATTACTGGACAACACCTCACTGGTCCCAAGGATCATGTGACCGCTCCTTCACCATGTCAACTCAAACTGTGCAGTAGTTTATTGTGCATTGTCCTGCATCTCAGATTATCACGGTTGGCTGTGCGGTGCGAACGAAGTTCAACATACATACATACATGCATAATTAATTTAAATGCCTAGTACACAGCTTATCTGCAATGAGGATTTCGTGTCGGTTTCCATTATAAGGGTGGTTCAAGGTTAACCTGCTGTTATTCTAAAAAAATTGTAGTGTGAAGTGAATAAAACATACCTTTTTTTCCCAAAGTACAATCAAACTTAGTTGATCCGTGATCCCATTATCTGATTTTGTTTTCTATTCGACAAAGCCGGTTCTCGCTTCCAAATATCTGGGGTTATCCAGGGTTATCCGTGGTAAAGTGGGTGAACAGACTAGGACCTCCTCCGTCCGCCAATTCAGGTGCAGATGCTATTGTCGACGCAGCGATTTCTACACTGCATTGTTTAGGTGTGCGAGCTCCCTTCCCATACCCATCACTCAGAAGCAATTGCTCAATTGTAGCAGCACTTTCAATGCCTGCAGTGCTGCATTCACTGTTAGCAACCAGTGAATGGGAAGGGAGCTTGCTTGCCATCATGTTACAGAGACCCTGTGTAAGACTGGTGCATGAGAGGTAAGGGGCCGTCCATAAATGACGTCACGCACCTGGGGGGTGGGGGGGGGTCAGACATTTGTGACGATGTGTGACGGGGGGGGGGGGGGGGTTGAGAAATGTGACGTCACATCAAAATGCGCAACTTTAAATAAATATATAATTTTTTTCTCACAACACTCCTACAACATCAGAGTGCAGCGCCACATTAAATACGTACTACAATGACCATCGTTTAAAGTGGTCATGCACCCCAGATAAACAAGTTAATCTCCAGTTGAAGCCTCTGGAAATTTGGAATCAGTGTACCCATCCCATTTATCCTGGATAAGCTAAGTTTGACTGTGTTGCCCCTGTTACATGTATACATTAGTCTCAGCGGTCTTTTGCTGCCTTCATGCCAGAAACATGTCATTCTTAAGGACATGCACTTCAGCCATTTCAAGACATCTGCTTTCACATTACTTTCTGTTGAGGTTTTTGTATCTCTCAAACACTTAAGTGTGAGAACTTATAACTTTCGGCTGATATGAAAGTTCCTATTCGTCGACGCTGTCTCGTGGCACATGACACACTACCTGTTGCCTTTTGGAAAAACCCAAACTGCTGTGGGCAGCAGTGACGTAACGTCACACATGAGTTTCTAGATCGTTCCACTTCCTCTTCATAAAACTTGCAGTGATGTAAATCTTTTAGGGTTGGAACAAAACGTGCAGATTAACCTTAAATCGCCTGATTTTTGGAACTAGCACCTGTGGTTATTGCTTTTGACACCACTAAAAGGTGTTTGTTGAATTATAGAAGCAGTTGTGAACAAGGCACTTAATATCAAGGGACATGGTAAACACGTACTACGATCTTGGGCTGTTACAGCCTGGTCTATTAGACCAAGTAAACATCTGTGTTAGAGTTCATTTGCATCATGTGTCATGAGGCAGAGGTCTGGCATGGCTTGAGTGTTCCCAGGCTGGACTTGGGATTTTGCTTCAAGGGTTCAGGGTTTGTGTCATCAGCAAAATGTGCCCACTCACTGTCTGTTGGCCGAGCAACACTGAGCGTGGCTCCATGCCTCCAAGAGTCATGGTCATTTGTCTGCAAAAAATTGCGCACATTACACATTCCATTATAATTACTGCCCCTGAAGAGCACTTTTGGAGGATGCAAACATCTTATTTGCAAATTAAAAATAAAGGGTTTCCAGCAATGAAGGCTCACAGCCTGAAGAGGTTGAGGGGGAGTGTGTTAGCTTCTGTAGTATGTAGTTTTTTTAAAGCTCTGGAAATTTTGAAAGGTGCATTCCATACCTTGGGTACTTACTCCATAGGTAGTTGTAGCAGCCGTTCCCTGTACAAGTGGATATGAGTGGCACATGGATCAATCCCAGTGTTTTTAAAGTCCGTTGCAGGCTTCACAAAGCTGCTGTATGTATGCACGCAGCCAACTGTGCTAATCAGAGTTACGGGGGAAGAACAAACTAAAAAACAAAACCGTTCTACATAAATTAGTTTTCAATCTTGATTTAAAAGTGCATAGTTCCAGTGGCTTCCTTCTTGTGGGCTTCACTTGGGTATAAATATCCTCAGTGCATTCATTAGCTTGCCAATTGTTAATTCGACGACCACCACTTGAGGATAGTTAGCTCTTGTAGTTTATTAAACATTTTGGTAACATTTTTGGTGTTAACGGTTGTGATGTAAAGTGTTACAAAATAAACGTTATTTAGTGTATTTGCATAATACTAGTATTATCTTATATCAAACGGTGTTTGACCAGAGGACTCCTTGGCGTCCTCTGGTCTAACACCGTTTGAGACGAGGCTCAAAAGAAAGCTGTCTCTGGTGTGGACCAATCAGTTTCAAGGACAATGCATCATATTATCAGTGTTTTTTGTTTGCATTCTGACCACAAGCATTGTGGTTAATGCAGACATGATTCCTTGTAAAAGGTTTCAGGTTGGTGTTTTAACATCTTAACACCTGTTTTGTTGCCAGAAAAAAGGGAAAAAACCTATTATCATATTTTGGTACTGGCAAAGGAGGTCTTACATTTTTTAATGAAGGATTATTTACTTTTATTAACCTATCTTATTCAAAAATACAGCAAGTCTTCATTTAACGTAATAGATGCGTTCCTGAAAATTGTCACGCTGAGCGAAACTAATTCCCCCACCAATAATATAACGAAAAATGTTGGTGAGATACGATATCCGCACACAGTGAGATGGTGGGACATAAAAACTGAAGGCACGCCGCTGCGTGACTATCATTCTGCATACAGTATCATTCCGCTGAGCCGCGCAGCTCAAGAAAGTCGTAGTTCGTTGTTGACCACTCAAAAGTCGCATTAAAACGGGTGCGTTCCACGCCATAATGGCCGCATTCCACGTTGTGGGAACAGTGGAAGAACCACGATATGGGTTAAAACACATTGTGTGAACCCGCGTTAAGCGAGGACTTACCATATAATAGCTTTGTAAGTCCCCAGCAATCGGATTGGCCGGAGGTGAAGTGCTGTGCACTGATTGTTTTGATTGGCATGACGTTGGGGGAAGGGCTCATAGTAACTATGTTATAAGTTGTTTTGTGAGATTTGGCGTGAGCCTCTGGAAAGTGGCTGGTAGTTATGTCAATGAGGAAACGGTGATAGAGTGGTCACGTGGGGTAGATGAGGGGAGGGGCAGAGCATTGCCCAATATCAAATATTAAAATGTCTCATTATTGAATGGGTATTAAAGTTTCTGAAGTGCCTGGCACAGGATGGTGTTCAATGGTTACTAAGGCAGAGCATTTTCATCTATGAAAACCGGTCTTAACGCAAGTATACTAAACCCCAGTTATTTTGTTTAACAAATATCCAGCCAATTAATCAGTTTAATAGTTTTGATTACATTTTCAATTTCATCATCACAAAAAATCTGATTGAGATTAGGCACAGCACACATACAATACCAGGTGACTTATTACCGAAGATTAATTATCCAAATTAGGAACGGAAGGAACCTGCAGAATAATTTTCATGTGTGGTAACCGTATGTTGGCCAGATGGGATGAGATCGGCAAAACATATGAACACAAACACCACAGGAACGTCAAAACAGTCACAAACACAAATGTCAGCAGTTGTGTAACATGACTCTAGGTACTACTGCCTACTACTTCCTTACCTTTGTGGATCTGAGGACAACTCCGGATGCAATTATCAGTGAAACGTCATATCAAATTGTTAAATCTTGTGGATTGCTCTTCACCCTCTTGGTATGATGAAGCAATAAACATTGGCATGTCCTTTCAAATAACTTTATTTCTAAAACATATGACATTGCAATGGGCAAATATTTAAATATTGTAATATATACAAATGTATTTTTTTATATTTGTGGAGGAGATTGTCATTATCAGCAGGATGATATGAGATAATCAGTGTGATAGCTTGCTATTTTAATTGATATTTAACACATTTTAAGCTCATAAAAATGTAGTTTAATGATAACCTTTAATCAATGTGGAAGTAGGCATTTGGCAAAGGTGACTGATATTCATGTAGAGCTGACTTAACATTACTGAGATTGTTAGGGACAAATGATACCAAGTTTACATAGAAAATTTATGTAATTTGTATATTGGTGACAATGCCATTATTTAATATTAAGACAGAATAACTGTAGCTGAACATATGTGCTGATAAAAATCCAACTGACATTGACATGCATTTAGAATTTTTGGCTGTATTAAGAAGTGTATTTTGTTTTTGTGTCGTGTGTCTGTCAGGACCTGCCTGCGATGCCCACACTGTCAGTGTATTCCTATGGTCTGGAGCAGCTAGCTCACTTGCTACTCCTTCCCAACCCCATGGAGCGCATCCACATCTCACAAGGCCGCGGCTTGTTGCAGTGCCTGCTGTGGGGGCCACGGTACCAACTCCTCAACAGAATAATGTTGAGCACAAGCGACCCATGCACATTGGAAGAACCCAGTGAGCAGCGTAGCCTTGCAGAAGGCAGTGGCACGGGTAGGCCAGCCCGACAAGTGCATTTGGTGGGCAGCAAAGCGGCGCACGAGCAGTCCACAGGGCTCGTGAACAGAGAGGTTGTTCTGCAAAACTGGCTGGAGTTGAAACGCACCCTCCTCACCATCTGTTTTGCTGAGAAATATCTAGAACATGAGCATGTCATCCGGCTTGAAGACTGGTTGTGCTGCCAGTACTTTGCATGTGCCACCCCAGACTCGGTCTATCAAGCCCTCAGGCTAATGCAAAGCAGAATGAGCGTTCATGAACATTGACATTTAACTTTTAATGGACTGTATTGGTTTCTTTAACTTAGCCCATGATCTGTGTTAAAAGGATGGGAATACAGTTTTGTTTTGTTTCTAATTGATGAATGCACTCCATTCGCCTCAATTTTCTGATCAACCTAAAAAACAGAACTGCTCTTATCCACAACAGCTGTAGAATCCGCAAAGAACTCCTATCAGCCATGGCCCTCCTCTTCCTGTTGTCAGAAACTTTTCTCAAAAGTATTTGCAAAACGGTATCTTATTATCCTCGATTATTTTTTCATGGATAAGAGGAATTGCATGGCAAATATACCATGTTGTCCATGGGTTATCCGTGATTTTTCATTTCATAAAATGTGCTATGATCAAAGCAAGTTTATCGGTAGCACTTGCGATGATGACGCATTGCACGACACAACCTAGACACACACAGGCAAATAAACTAAGACACGGAGACATGCAGACAGAGGCATACAGACACAGACCCTCGCAGACATAACAGCATTTATTTGCTGCTCTGCCTTAACGAAAGGTCCTTGGCTGCCATATTTTCAATCCTCTGTTCTCTGCTCTCTTCATTTCTACAAACAACCCTCCCTTCAGCTCTTCCATCTAAAATCCTTAGCCTTCTCTTCTTTTTAATTCCATTCTTCCTTCTATAATGTCCTTCGTCAAACCATTCCTTCGTAGAATGTCCAATTCAGTTAATTCTCCTTCTGATGACTTCCATTATAATAAATGTTGTTGATGCCATTCAATATTTCTTCATTGTATTCTATATACAGCTGACTTTCAGGATCCTTCTCCACATCCACACCTCAAAAGCTACCAACCATCTCAACCTTTCTCAGTGTCCTCATTTCCATGCCATGCAAAGCTATGCTCCACACCATCGTATTAACTATTCTGTTAAGTAAAAAATCTTTCCTCTTGCCGAATGGTTCTGCCACCAAGCCTTGATCATATTTCCACTGCACACTGTTCATCTTCTGTGATTAATGCACTGAAGTTCCTGAATATGTTCACATGTTCTCGCAGTTGTCCTTCAATTATAATATACATTGTTCCTACACCTTTCCATTATATTCTCATTACTTGTTTTGTTTATGTTAATATTCATACTGTTTTCCTTTGCATGTTGTTTAACCCATTCATCAACCTTTACAGTCTTTGCCACCATCCCTTGATCATTCGTAAACCGTACATCCTTTCAGGTTTGACCTTGATTTTTTTGTATTCTGTTGCCTCAATTATAATTTTTGCATTAACAGCAAGGCCGGTGATAATGAGTACTCCTGCTCGATTACTGTACTAATAATTCCTGGTATCATATGTCTGCTACCATGATAACTGATTCCTGTTCCTTACACGATCGACATATTAATCTCCAGTCTGTCTAGTCCGCCCCTATCTTCTTAAGTATCTCCATCAACTTTACCCTTTATCCATAATAGAGGATTTTGGGTGTTAGAGCGCATAAATATATAAATGTGTCGTTAAAACCTGCCACCACCCGTCACAGCCAAACTAGTAAGGGTTGTCACGTAAACAGAAAGTGCCAATTCATCACTAGTACAGCACACCGGTGTGTTGGAGTGCCAAGCCACAACATTTACAAACTAAGTACGACGTTTCGCCAGTAATTACAACTAGCTTAAAACCACTTATGGATGATATTGGTCGCGAAAGCCTACGTTTTTACCCTTTTTTTTATCCTGTCAAGACCTCGAAATCCACAAAGCACACATACAACTGATATCCGAGTTCTATGCCCCTTTCATACAGCATTCTCATTACCACTACCACTTCGCATGTCCCGCATATTTTCCTGAAACCGAATTGGTTTCTTACAATAACATTTTTTACCTTTGTATTTATTCTTCTGGTGAGCAGTCTTCGCATGATCTCGGATGCATGTGAAACAAGGATAATTGTTCTATGGTCTCCGCACTCCATTGCATTTTGTCTTTTTTTCGAAAGTACCACGGCTATTTTTGTAAACGCTTCTAGACTTTTACCTTGCTAGTACATTGCTTTTAAAGAGGAAATGTAGTTCCTTGGTCATGTTATTTCCAAGGCATTTCAGAAACTTCTGGCAACCCATCTATACCTTCAACTTTCCTCTTCTTGGGCTTAATGGCTGTTTTTAGTCTCCTTATGTTGGGACCATTTTTATCCATGTCTACTTCTGCTTTCTCTAAACTAATGTCCTCCAGCTTTGGCTTTCCTTCCTCATAAAGTTTATATATGTCCATCTACTTCAAATGTCTTCTGGCTCTTGTCAATATTCCCTCATTCTTCTTTATTTTACTGCTCCCGTCTTAGATATTTCTGACACCTCTAATTTTTGCGTACATCAGTTCTGTTCATTCTCTCCTGTCAAGCTGTTCAAGTTATTTAAGAGACACGCACAAACACACAGACATTGAAAGACACAGAGAGACAGACATGGAGGCGCACACGTGGACAAAGACAGACACCCACAGAGACATGGATAAATAAACATACAGACATTGATACAAAAAGAGAGACCTGGAGATGCATAAGAAACAGACATGGAGACATTCACAGAAACAAGAGACACGCAAAACAAAGAGAGATGCACAAAGACCGACCTCTCCCAGTTACTGGTGTTATCTGTGCTATTTCGTGGATAAGAGTCATCGGTGTAGCAAATTCATCCTAGTATCTGAATTTAACCCAAGGATAACAGAGTAAATTTACGGATAATAGGATCCATGATTCGGGTCCCCTACATTACTACGGATAAGAGGCGTTATCTCATATTTAATTGCAGTTATTTCACATCCAGAGAGTTATAATTTAAAATGATTACATTTTAGTTATTTAGTTATTTTTATTTCCTTATTATCGAGTGGGTTGTGGGAAAGGGCCTCTTAGTCTATCTGGTCTAGCACTGATAGTGGTATGCATTAGCAACTATAACTTGAATTAGCCTCTAGCTGCACTCTCTTCCCTCAGCCCCTCACTGTGAACCAGTTAAAGTATTAGTCATAAATATTTCTCAAGTCCTAAGTAAAAATGTTTGCAGTACTATATAAGAAGGATTTTTGGAATAAAATGTATTGGACAATCTTTACTATAGAAACTAACATGTGGGGACATTGTTGGTTTATATTTATACTATGAAGTAGGTTGTGATAGGGTTGTAACAAGAAATGTTGATAACAGTATTTTGCATTTTAGTGCATTTTTAAACAATAGTCAACATTATTTTATAATGTTGATATATTTTCAACATGAACCAAATCAATGAAAATCAATTTGGCAGTTTTAAATGTTTTTATTGTGCCACACGTTTTACTTTGGCTGTGGAAAATAAAAAAAGAAACAATGATTAAATCTCAAGGTTGGTTTCCTGGAGTGCTAAAATCAGTAGAAATGCAATTAGAACGTTTGAGTTGCAATATGATTTAAAGCACATGTGTGCTTTACCAAACAAAAATGTGCCTTGGGCTAATGCATTTGATTGCACATTTGAGAGGTAGGATTTTTGTGTAGGATGTGTGACACCTGCAGTTCTACCAGATGGTTAATGTTGCCTTTATGCATTGGTTTTACACCAATATGTACTTTTGCTTTTATACATAAACAGAGCTTGTGCCTTTGAGAACATATACTGTGTTAACCAAAAATATAACCTTAATTGAAGCAATAACTGAATATTTTTTAAATATATATCAATTAGGATATGCTGCTGTTTCATTGTTTAATAGCAATATTTTAGTTAAGTAGTGTAATTTTAGATACTACAGTCCTCTGGTAGTTATCCTTTTTGGTGCTATAAATAAGCCACATACGAAGTGTCTTATGTACATTGTTTTACTGCATTGTTACTTGATATTTCCAAAAGCTTTTTGTATTAAACTTGCACCTTATATGGATTGTGTGAGTCTTTTGAAGTGTAATGTTTGCTGGTAAGATTTGAATTTAACAAAGTTCATATCGGTCTTGTTCTTTATTATTTTGTGAAGTTAAGTTTCACATTTTCTTTCCTTGTGTAGTGTGATGTTTGGAAACAAACAATATATTACATATTTTGAGTCAAACAATAAGTCCAATGTAATTTGTATGGTTACACCATTTAACACATCACACGTCTTTGCACACCTAATTTCAACTGTTCAGAATGTTTTTGAATCCCCATTTATATTTAGTTGGGTGAACTGTTTCGAGTGCTAAAAAAATGTATTACTCTTTTTATGGACTGCTCACAGTTCATTTATTTTAGTTAGAACTAGTCACTTAATTTGGCCACTTGCATTCAACACTAAGATGCAAGCCTTTAGCATATAGAGAGTGCTACATGATATATTTGAAAATATTGTATTGTTCATGTACAGCAGGTGTTTTGCCCAAGACATTGGATAGGGAATGTTTTGGCAGTTTTAAATATGGAAGCTTGACAGTGGGCCATTCAGCTAAGCATTTCAAAAGTTGATATCCATAGGCAGGGATGGGCCTTGTGTACCCAAATCACAATATCAGTAGGAAATGGAAATATTGAGGTAGATTTGTGTGTAGGTAAAGTGCTCTATAATGCTTAATGTATCGCTGGAGTTAGCAAGGTAATGCCATGGGAGTATTACCAATTTCAAGCTCTGGAGCAACTGTTATCCTGCAGCTTTATGCAAAAAGTACAAATTATTGTCTTCAGTTAACAGGAGGGTTTGATAAACAACATTACTATTTTATTTTTAAGTGGTTTCTACTATTTAGAGAAGATATGAAGTATTGTGCAGTAACCAATTTATGTTAGATATAGGAACTGCAAGACTCAAAAGGCAGAAAATACTTAAGAGTTGCATAAACAAGTAACGCTCTAAAAAGGTAGATTAAAGTGACTGGCTGAAACATGATATAATGGCAGGGAGTTTTCTATTACTTTAAAGATGATGAACAAATATTTAAAGTCCATGGGCCACAGCAAAAATCGGTACCACCTATGGTTGAAAAGCTGCTTTTCACCCAAGCTCGTAATGCTTTGGCGTTTGCATCGTCCTTGTACTGTTAGTCTTTTGGTGTCCTTTGGTCTAGCACTGGTGAGACCAAGCCATAAAAGAGGCTATCGAGGACAATCCGTTTCATGGACAATGAACACAAAGCATATTTTGAATGTTTTACCACAAGTATGTGGTTAATGCAGAATTGATGCCTTGTCATAGGTGTCTATTTAATGTTTGAACTTCTTAACACCTGTATTTATTGCCAGAAAGGGTCAAGCCTTCTCTCTTCAATCAAAATTTAACACTTTTAGTCAGATCTGATTACATTTTAGCACAAGTTGAGAATGATTTCCACATTTGGCACGAGGATTGAAACACTTGGGAGTGCTGCAGGTGATTTTGCAGCTCATAGAATTCCTACCCAGAACACAAAGCTAAAGCATTGTAAAGCCACCATTCGTGACCTTATACCTGACAGGCAATCTAAACGCATTGTGCTTCAGCATGAATGACCAAGACTGATGAAATCATAGCAATGTATCTGTAAGATATTTTTGGTTTTCCGGGAGCTTCTTCAGGAGCCGAATTCAGTTCCACGTCGTGGCTCAACAACACGGTTCCAATTGTCAATACCTGAGCCCAGAAACCATAAGGAAAATTGTTCACAGTTCAATATGCTGAAGGCTTTTTAAAAGCTTCAACACAAATGTGCTATGTAATTTGGTTCCATGCATTGTTTAAACTATAAATGAACAAGAATGTAATCATATACATATAGTATACGCTCCAGAACTAATCTCACATTGTGCCGAGTCTGAAAACACTTGAGATTTAAATTCTGGAAAGGCCAAGTGGCACTGGTGAGAGAGCACATTGTGAGCACTGGGTCATTCCAGTCACCTAGATACTTTTAACGACATCCATAACTTGGCCAGGGGACAGCTCCAGACACACCAAGACTCCCACACCAGCACCCTTTTCATAAATGACTTACAAAAAACAACCATCAGAATTCGAAAGCACAAGAACAGTTAAGTTGTAAACCAAAATATGGAAATTTTTAATGATAGTGTATAACATGCACCATTGTGGAGTCACATCCAAAAATATATCCCCCCCCCCCCCCCTTAATGCTACTTCATGTCTCGGCTAGTGTTAGAACCGCCATTCCCCCTCGCTTACATGGAGGTGTTTTTTTTATATCAAAGTGCTCTGAGTTAGAGGGCCGACGATGGTCTTTTCTCCTGATGTGCGAAGCCCAATGTGGATCAGTGGAAATATGGTTGAGTTCCGCTCGCGGCACAACCAACCCCCAATGGCGGAATGCTTCCATCCAGTTTGGACCTGTGAGCTGGAAATCTGGGAAGACCATGGAAATCTGAAGGTTGAGAGGCACCTCCCATTAGCACGGTTGACTATGCGCGGTACAACGGAAGTTCAACATAGATCGAGTGGGAGACGTTCACATGTGGCACGTGGCTGCCACGCGGACGCAGACCTTTTGAGTTCCGATGTGGGTACTGTGCGTGCTCATGAGGCCACAATATCTCAGAAACCCCCGGGAAGCAACAACTAAAGGCAAAATTCAGACTGCAGAGAACGAATTTCGGGTCCTCGAATATTGTACCGCTCGCCGAGGATTCGACAATGGGAAACGAGACCCCGACGAAGCAAAATGAAACTGCAAACAATAGCGCTGTAACAATTTTTGTTACTGGGTAGTAAGTGTTGTTTCCTAATTTCTTATTCCTGAAAAGTACAGAAAAAGGATATTATTCCCCAGAAACTTTGTTTTTGTGACCAGGACAGTGATATTTTTAAATATACATATTTTCCAGAACATTAGTTAGATTCAGTGCTGAGTAAACTTGGAGTAACTTTTATAACTTTCCAGTAATATAATACGTGACTTTACCGAAAGAACCAAGAATACCCACCAGTTCAGTTTAGTTCCAGCTGCCTACGTGGATACATATCTGCATTATTCTGAGGTGGCATCAAGAGGCTGCAAGCATCCGGCAGACGAATTTTGCGATGTCTGCGGCCAATTTATCAAGACAAGAGCGAAAAAGTACTCTGTGGAAGCATCTGCTAAGATGTGTGAGGCCTACAAGGCATATTTCGGCATGCCTGTCGGGGATCAAGACAAACCCTGGACACCTCATTTCACCTGCGAGCAATGTAAAAAAAAACTGGAAGGTAAGATGGACAATTGTTTCTCGGAATTTTATGTTATAAAATTTGTTAAAATATTTAAAATTACTCTTTGGTTCTTTCGATAAAGTCACGTCGAAAATAAAATCAAATAATAGAATACGACGTTTTGGTTGCAACAAGCAGCCATCATCAGGTAAGAATGAGTGATGAAACACAGACACGGAAACAACAGGCAGACACATGCAGAGAGAGACACACCAAGACAAACAGAAGGACAACGAGTCTGTGCCGAGGCCTTAAATAGAGAGAGGGGGGAGGGGCCAGAGCAGAGAGAGAACTGGGGAGGCGGACAAACGAGGGGACAAGGAGGGAGCAGTGTGGAATTTCGGGCCACAGTGGCCGGAGGATAGAGAATAGTTTCGAGCAAGAAAATCGAAAGTTTGAGAAAGCAAATTTACTAAAATTAAGAAGTGTAATGCAATGCAACACAGAGGGTCGGTTAACACAACAGTTAACGCATAGCCTGATTGCTTAACGTTCTTCCAAAGATAGCTAAATTTGAAGTTAAGTATGAGTTGTGTGGAAATCCTCCCTGTAGAGGTGGTTCAAACTAGATTCGAAGCTTTCTTGACTGCAGGAATTACTCTTTGGTTCTTTCGCTAAAGTCACGTAGAAAATAAAATCAAATAATAATAGAATACGTTTCTTTTTACTACATTTGTTGTCAAACTTCCTATTTCTCTCTAAATTTCTCCTTGTCTGTTCCACACTTAACTTCTAAATTAGCAATCTTTGGAAGAACGTTAATCAACCACAGCGGACCCGTTTTCTCTGGGGAGGAACAACGTCAAGTTGGAGCCACTGGTGGACCCCCGGAAGATGCTAATGCCACCACTGCACATTAAATTGGGCCTTATGAAACTATTTGTCAGAGCTGTAGATAAGGAGTCGGCAGCCTTCAACTACCTTCAAGACTTCTTCCCTCAGCTGTCTGAGGCAAAGGTCAAAGCCGGTGTCTTCGTCGGACCACAGATAAAGAAGATCCCGGAGTGCAATGAATTCCCCAAGAAGCTCACTAGTAAGGAGAAAGCGGCTTGGTACAGCTTTGTCGCAGTGGTTCGTGGCTTCCTGGGCAATCACAAGGTCAAAAACTATGTGGAGCTGGTTAAGACTGGTGAAGAACTACGGCACAATGGGTTGTAGGATGTCTCTTAAAGTCCATATCCTTGATGCCCATCTTGATAAATTCAAGAACATGGGAGCCTACTTGGAGGAGCAAGGCGAGCGCTTCCACCAGGATATACTGGACTTTGAACGCCGCTACCAAGGACAGTATAACGAGAACATGATGGGAGACTACATTTTGGGGCTGATTCGTGAAAGTGATTTACAGTATAATCGTAAAGCTCTAAAAACTACTACTAAATCTTTTGTAGTCATTTTTGTGTTACTTTAGTATAAATACATGTTCATTTTGATTCACTTTTTTTCTGACTTTGTGAACGAAAAGACAAATTCGCCCGTATTCTCATTGAAAATAGGTCAATTTTGAAATATCGCTGTCCTGGTCACAAAAGCAAAGTTTGTGGGGAATAATAGCAATTTTCTATGCTTTTTAGGCATAATTACGAAATAACACTTACTACCCAGGAACAAAAATTGTGTGACGTCACTCATGTGGATCCCACCCCAATAATCATGAGGGTCATTATTTGCCATTGAATATTTCAGATTAACTGCAACACACCCGTCCTTGGATGGGCTATCGGTTAGTAAGCAATATAAATCCACACCTGTGAAACCATCTTGCTTAAAAATACAACAGGCAAAGCGATGCACAATGGTGGTTTGGTTGATGGTAACTTCACTATATTCATTGCACTCGATGCAAAACCCAAGACAAAACTGCCTTTACAGAGAAACTTTATTTACTTTTAAAAAACAATGCAATTGCAAATACAAGGTCGACTTATTTAATTTTTGGCCAAAATGTAATGAAAATGTGTTACAATTCAATAAATGAGCAATTTTTTTCTAAGTTCAAAACTTAAAAACGACTTGGAAGTCGTTGTGACAATGTACCAGCAGTATGTGCCAAAAGTCACACCTCCACTATTCCAGTATTTTGAAAATGCAATATTCCTGATTTTGGAACTATTGTTCAGTTATCTACAACTACACCTGGCAGACTCAGATGTAAAATCTGTTAAAACAGCAACCAGTGTGTAAACCTCAAGTCACCTTGATAATAGTGTAGTGACCGACTTGGAGACGTAACTTCTTGGAAGAATTTTTTTTAAACACCGAGAACACTTTTTACACTTGATACAATACACACACCCTGCACTATTACATACTGTCTGTCCCTTATACGCAACTCTACACGTTGCTAGCCTACACACAACGCTAGCCGTCTTGACACCGACGGCGCTGAACTAAGACAGCCAACTACGTCTTGCAGCGCAATTATCAAGTGGAGACGACAGTGATGAAGGCACGAGACGACAGCAGCGATGGAGACGATCTTCAGCAGCTACGACGATGGGGATCCCACTTCAAACGACAGCCCCGAGCTCCCGCTCGGGGTCCCCTTCTATCCTGTTAGCATGGCCTCATTCCGCCCCGGCCACGCCCCCCTTCTGGAACCTACTAGCGGGCTCTCGACGTGTCCCTTCCATAACCTTTACCCTAGGTCCCTCTCGGGTCTATCACGCGGCCTGCTGTCAGTCAGGGCTGCTACAAGCTGCAGATTCCCTTCCCTACCAGCAGCCAGAGATATGCTACTTAGTGACCAATTCTGTCACTGCAATAGTAATAAATGAGACGGTGCTAAATGCATGTATATCAATTAGAAAATTATTCAATTTCCATAATATACATTTTTATTCCAAAGTATTTCTTTAACTTATACGTGCAGGCATTTGAAATAAAAAGGGTCAAGATGGAAACAATTTTTACCAAGGCGAATATTTATTAAGATTCATGTTTGCATGGTACACCATAGTTATAAAGAAAAAACATTTTTACATTGTGGATCATTTTAGAAATGTTTTATTTGAACTGTGAATGCTTTAATGTGCTGTTCTCTTGGAATTATGTCATGGGATCTGTAAAGTCTAATTGATAACTATTTTTATTCTATGAAGAAATCGACCTGCTCACATCATGGAAACTGACCTGGTCAGCAAGATACATACAAAGCTATTCAACTACCCTGAGAAAGAAGAAATATGCTAGAGAACATATGCAGAAGCGTCTTCAACATCACCTGGCCACCAATTACACGGGTTGCACATAATATTGCCAGCTTGCTAGTCCTCTTCATCATCCTCCTCGTCGCTGATAATATACCTCTTTTGCTTTTTGTTGGCCTTTTCCTCTTCCTCTGCTTTACGCTTTCCCGATGTTCCCTCTTCCGTACCCTCCTGTGAAATGTTAAGGAACAAAATAATTGTCTTCACCCAACTGTAAAAACACAGCTCTCAGCACTCTCAGGGTCATCTTGAGTGAAGCGCACGTGTCAGCCTGGAAACAGGTTTGCGTGTACACAGTGACTCAATGACTCCCGTTGCAATTGACATTGGTGATTGATGACAGGAAACATTCACTCTATGACAATGGATAGTGATTATAACCACATTTAACAAAACACGGGCTCTCTTTTATCGATGGTTCATGGTATACGTTTATACTTGCACAATACACTTTATATCAGAATAATTATTGCTGTGGATCATTGCAGCACTTAAGCATTTTACATTAGACTCTAAATGACAGAGAATCAAGTGTTTCACACATTACGATAAATGATCTTCAAAGCTGCTCTTTCGGGATAGCCATAAAAAAGCACTGGTCCTTTCTCCTTCGCAACGTTTCACCTCCCACATTGGAGGCATCTTCAGGCAGTATGATCCAGCTAAGGTTTTACTACTGCTAATATACAAGTCCTGGTGGCTCAAGGAATGTGAGGTAATTGTTGATTCGTACTCTTAAATTGTATAGAATACACATCTACACAATAGATTACAAATCAATGATTATAACATTCTTGTGAGTCGCCAGGACTTACACATGGAGTAACAAAAGCTCAGCTGGATCATACTGCCTTCAGATATCTCCAACGTGACGCAAAATGTTGCAAAGGAGAAATGAGCAACAGGATATCCTAATAGAGCAGCTTTTAGGAGCATGTATCATACATCAAGCCATGAAAACCTACATCAATGTTTTACATTACTTCAAACATACCTTGAAAAAACAAATGTAAAACATCCACATCACAGTATAATTAGGAAAATTACATTAAATGGATAATGCCTGTTAAACACCGAGTTATGAGATGTCATAGATTATATATTTTCTGCAACAATCCATGGATATTCTGGAGAAATGTTTTAATTATATATTTTGGACACGAGACATACAAGCTGTAAGCATGCAAGGCTAACCTCATCACTTTCAATTTTCTTGGCCTTGGCTGCACGAGCATTCTTATCATCTTCAGAGCCCTCGTCACTGTCGGACGAGTAAATCCTTGCTCGCTCCTCTGCAATCACATACACCCAAAGCATTATCCTTTAATATAAAAAAGTCCACGATCCGAAAACTCCAAGGTATGTGGGAAAATAAGATTTGGTTCATGGTTGATAATTATAATACGACACTCCTTTTGTTATGTTACTCTACATTAACCCACACATGAAATATAACTTGCACAGTAAATGTATACAGTGAGGGGAAAAAAGTATTTCATCCCCTGTTGATTTTGTACGTTTGCCCACTGACAAAAAAATGAACAGTCTATAATTTTAATGGTAAGTTTATTTGAACAGTGAGAGACAGAATAACAACAAGAACATCCAGAAAAAGCATGTCAAAAATTTTATAAATTGATTTGCATTTTAATGAAAGAAATAAGTATTTGACCCCCTCTCAATTAGAAAGATTTCTGGCTCCCAGGCTTATTTTATACAGGTAGCGAGCTGAGATTCGGAGCACACTCTTAAAGGGAGTGGCTCCTAATCTCAGCTTGTTACCTGTATAAAAGACACCTGTCCACAGAAGCAATCAATCAGATTCCAAACTCTCCACCATGGCCAAGACCAAAGAGCTCTCCACGGATGTCAGGGACAAGATTGTAGACCTACACAAGGCTGGAATGGGCTACAAGGCCATTGCCAAGCAGCTTGGTGAGAAGGTAACAATAGTTGGTGCGATTATTCGCAAATGGAAGAAACACAAAATAACTCTCAATCTCCCTCGGCCTGGGGCTCCATGCAAGATCTCACCTCGTGGAGTTGCAATGATCATGAGAACGGTGAGGAATCAGCACAGAACTACACGGGAGGATCTTGTCAATGAACTCAAGGCAGCTGGGACCATAGTCACCAAGAAAACTATTTGTAACACACTACGCCGTGAAGGACTGAAATCCTGCAGCGCCCGCAAGGTCCCCCCCTGCTCAGGAAAGCACATATACATGCCCGTCTGAAGTTTGCCAATGAACATCTGAATGATTCAGAGGACAACTGGGTGAAAGTGTTGTGGTCAGATGAGACCAAAATGGAGCTCTTTGGCATCAACTCAACTCGCTGTGTTTGGAGGAGGAATGCTGCCTATGACCCAAGAACACCATCCCCACCGTCAAACATGGAGGTGGAAACATTATGCTTTGGGGGTGTTTTTCTGCTAAGGGGACAGGACAACTTCACCACATCAAAGGGACGATGGACGGGGCCATGTACCGTCAAATCTTGGGTGAGAACCTCCTTCCCTCAGCCAGGGCATTGAAAATGGGTTGTGAATAGGTATTCCAGCATGACACTGACCCAAAACACACGGCCAAGGCAACAAAGGAGTGGCTCAGGAAGAAGCACATTAAGGCCCTGGAGTGGCCTAGCCAGTCTCCAGACCTTAATCCCATAGAAAATCTGTGGAGGGAGCTGAAGGTTCGAGTTGCCAAACATCAGCCTCAAAACCTTAATGACTTGGAGAAGATCTGCAAAGAGGAGTGGGACAAAATCCCTCCTGAGATGTGTGCAAACCTGATGGCCAAATACAAGAAACGTCTGACCTCTGTGACTGCCAACAAGGGTTTTGCACCAAGTACTAAGTCATGTTTTGCAGAGGGGTCAAATACTTATTTCCCTTATTAAAATGCAAATCAATTTATAACATTTTTTACATGCCTTTTTCTAGATTTTGTTGTTATTCTGTCTCTCACTGTTCAAATAAACCTACCATTAAAATTATAGACTGATCATTTCTTTGTCAGTGGGCAAACGTACAAAATCAGCAGGGGATCAAATACTTTTTTCCCTCACTGTAGTGTCTTCAGAAATCACTCAGACTGACACGTTGTAACAAGTCACCTGCTTACACTTTATTGACCTATTCTTGCACCAGTCGTAGGCACTCCTAGAGCTATCTGTACGGTCACTTAGATCTAACTTCTTCCCACTCGTATGTACGTGACACCTAACTTAGCCTGCCCTCAGGAGCTCTGCTCTCAGCGACTCCGCACACAGCGTTTTCGCATACAGCAGCTTCTACAACTCCACTGCTGCCCTCACCTACGCTACCTCAGACCCGCTCACCCGTCTGTTCCGGGCGGGGCGATCAGCCATCACCCGCCCGGCGACACGTGAGGGTTGAGGTCCCGTTGACGGCTGGAGCGGCAGTGGCGGGATGTCTTCACTCTTGTCCCCAGCAACAACTCTCGGCTCCGCTCCCACCCGCCCTTCGATCCTCCTGCCAATTATCCGAGAGTTCTCGTGTGTCTCTTTAAGCCCAGCCAAGCTGGCGCCTGTTAGCCCATTAATCAACCCTCATCTTCCCCGTCTCTCTGGCAATACCTCGGCCTTTGACGTGCACAACCAGTCGACGTTTGCTCCTGCTGTGCCCCCCCCCCCGCCGTAACAACTGGCAATTTGTCTGTGCAAACCTAACGTTTGCACGCGCGGACCCGTTTGCCCTCAGTTGCCCTCGGCTAACTGTGCGCACCGCATATTTCACTCCTCTACAAATAAAAAAATATGTCGTGTACAATACTGTACATATATACGTAATAGTAAACCTGAACCACACTGCATCGTTGGATGCTGAGTAAACATTAACTGGGACAGGCGATGGGCTTGAATGGGAGAAAATATGGTGTGTGTGTATTCATTCTTCGCAGCATCACCGCGAGGAGTGCAGTTAGAGTATTTCTTAACGATGCACATGGGAATCTCGCGATCAACCATGGATGGTCAAGCCATAGCAGTGCTATCGGCCAACTATACCTGAATACATTTGGAGTGAATGGTCAAATACAAATTGAGAAATCCCACGATGGGCAAAGTTTGAGTGTATAGTTTGACTACAGTTGAGATTGTGATCAGAATTTGAAAACTACTGAAAGTATGTCAATCACACAAACGTGCAGCAAGTAAAAACTCACTCAATATTCTTGGACTTAAACTACAAAAAGAGCCTTTGTGCGCTGTTTACATGCAAAGGAAACGCAGCACTCTCTTAGAGGTTGCAGATGATACATGGTGAGATAACATGGCAATGCACTAAAGTAGTGTTTTCTCATATATTCCACAATTTATATTACAAAGCAAACGAATTGGCTTCACCATGCTCTGCCAGTCATGGGTAGAGTTGGGCAATCCTCAACAGTTCTTAGCTTGGAATTGCAAATAAGATTGCGGGAACGGTGGAATTGGGGGGGATGCATAGACCCGTTGTGATGTAAGTGAGGGCCGGGCCCATGGGGACTGGCTGCCAGAATTAAACACAGTGGATCATCGATTATCTGGTTGCTTCGGGGGGGGGGGGGGGGGAAAGGAGGCGCCGGATTTTGAAAAACGCCGGATTATCACATCATTATTTAAAAGCTTATTTTTTCACATTCTTGAATAACATTAGCTTTTTAGGTGCTGATTTTTGGTGTTTTAACTTTGTTTACGATGTGAAATTGGCATAAAGACAAAAATAAACATCCTGTAAGAAGTTACCGTATTTACTGTACCTTACCACTCTAATCTCCAAGACTCTGTATGGCATGATGTACGCACTACTCCGCTCTTGTTTGAACAACTTGTGTTTGACGATCGCCGGACTGATGCAGCCTTCAGACCGGTGCTCCGGCGAACACCGAATTACACGCGCTTCTCCCCAGATCACTCTATTTTCTCTTTTTATTAATGTAGTTATCAGTCATAAAAAATACATTAAACCTCATTATTACGGTATTTGATCATTCGTAATTGGGGATAATTCGGCACGGCTGCGCTTTCGGCATATGAACCTTATGGCGGGACCCTGCGATCCCGAATAAAAGGAAGTAAAAATCGGAATTAATTAATTGATTTTTGGCGACTCCGTCCCACACGCACATAAACGCCGCGACCCACCAGAAATCATCTCGTTCTTCACCAAGCACCCATCGTTGCCAAAATTGCCGCAGTCATAAACAAAACTTTGAAACGTCGATTAGCACATCGTGTAGAGCTCGTCGAGAGGAATAGATTGCCGTATCGTTCGCCTTCAACAGACATAAAATGACGTCACAACGCAGTTTATGCTTATGGGACCCCGGGGTCCTGCCATAAGGTTCATATGTACAGTATTAGTAATTCGCCATGAGCTGAATAGCTGCACTGAATGGTGCAATTTCGGCATACACGTGGAGCGAGGCCATGCGCCACAACCAAAACAATGACAGCCTAGTGGTGGGCGTGCGGTGAGCGTTAGTACAGACCTGTTGCTTTGGACTTTACTTTGTTTATGCACTCTGTGCAAGCCAACCCTCTCAGAAATGTCATTTACACCTACATCAAGTAGTAATAGAAAGGGACTGAAGCATAAAGCCCTTAGTCTGCGAGACAAATCCAATATTTTGGATACAATTGATGCAGATGTGTCAATGTGTATGGTGTGTGAAGAGTTTGGAAAACAAAACATTTTGGGACAGGAGGCACTGGGAATTACCATTGTACATAATTCTGAATATTGGATAATTCGGCAAGGCCAGAGCCCCATAATTGTCAAATTAGCAAGGATTTACTGTATCTGCGTGCAGTATTGTCACTATTTAAATAGTTGTATGCAGTGTATAATGTGCTGAAACATTTGACACTGAAATCAAGCATAGCTACTTTTTTTTGTCAAGCACATGGTTCCAATTGCCAGACTGGTACAGCCTTTGGAGTGGTTTTGCCAGATCGAATGTTGGAAGCCGGATAATCACGCGCTGCGCTGGATAATTGAAGTACATATGCACCGGCCATACATTTCGATGGCAATTATTGTAGATATAGGGCTGCCTGGAATTTATCCGAATGCCGGCCTGATGGAATCGACTATGACCAGAATCATCAATGGAACGTAAAGCAATGCAACTGTTTATTAAAATGTGCACATACTACTGACCACGCATGTTGCCCTTGAAACGGTTCTTGATAGCCGCTAGGCTTATGGCCTCCTCCCCTTCCTCCTCCTCCTCCTCGAAGCGGTCCGACTCCAGGTAGTTGGAGCTCAGGCCCCGCATGTGTTGCTTTTCGCGCTGCCGCCGCTGCTGAGATTCACGTCGGATCGACGCCCGTAGACGCTCTTCTTCTTTCTGTATCAACACCAGTCAAGAATTTACATTAAGAGTATAAAGACACACCAGCTCATTAGCATTGATCCTTATACACACAATGCACGCATAAAAGAACACGTGTGGGTCACCTTAATCATCTCAGTCCGTTGGGACTCGGGGTCCTTCCCAGCGATGGGCAGAATTCTGATCTTCTGTGTTTTAGAGCAGCGGTCTGCCAGGGACAGCGTCATCTTTCTGTGTGTGGCGCTGTCTGTTGAATGAGGTCTGCGATGCACAAATAAAAATTACACATCAGTATTAAACATCACAGCTCATTCAGTTTAACACGTAGGCTTTCGCGACCAATATTATTCATAATAAAGGTTTTTGGGTTAGATCGCGTTATTTATAAATGTGTCGCAACCCTCCACCACCCGACACGGCCAATCAGTAAAAAAATGTGTCACGTTGACAATTTGCCAGAATTCTGGAAAATTGCTCGATGATGCTGGATGTAATTACCAGCGAAACGTCGTACTCAAAAATTGTAAATGTTGTGGATTCATTCTTCAACACACCGGTGGGCTAAAGTAGTGAACTATGTCTTTTTTCAACGTGACACATTTTTTACTGATTGGCCGTGTGGAGTGTTGGAGGATTGCCACACATTTATAAATAACGCGATCCAACCCAAAAACCTTTATTATGAATCACAGCTCATTACCAGCATACACAAACACATTACAGTAGCTGTTTCACAATATGCTTAATGTTCTACATATGCAGGTTACACTGCAAGGTGACATGATAGATTTAGTGCAATTATAACAAAGTCATTATTTGGGGAAAAAAAATATAAAAAAACTGCAAAATAACATAAAAATACCAAATACATATAAACAAAGATTGTAAAAATACTAAATATGTTTAGAAATGTATATATTTCTCCGAAACATGTTATGTATTAAAATTGTTTAATTAAAAATTTTAAAACCCAATGCCAATGCAGAGGACCATTACTAACATGACAATTTTTGGTCATTTGTTAAATCACTGCTGGATAAGGCTTCAACACCATGTCAGTCATTGGGGTTATTTGACCATACTACACCACACCAACAAGAATGGAGTTTGCAAAGGGTAGGTCAAGAATTGGTCTACATACCACTCGTCACTGATGTTAGCCGTGGCTAATAACCAAACTCGGTTATCCACAATTATACTGCCATGCGCGAACCACTGTAAGAACACACCCCCTACAGTGCCATTAGATTAGTAGATATAGATGTCAAGTTGAACACAAATTTTCTTGTTCAAGCAACCATTGCACCTATCTTCATTAATAAAGAAGTCCTCATCATCAAAACGCGTAAGTGACAAAGGCCTATTGTGCCAACCAATGTCCACGTTCCACTGTATATGGAAACCTCGCCGAACGCAGGGGTTACGTTCCTGAAACAGTCTATGTTGGGCAAAACCGGGTTCGACAAATCGTAGACCTTATGGGAAAAACAGGTTTGCGTTCGTGGGTTGGAAATTTTTGTTCAACTAATTCTACATGAATCTTGACTTAAAGCTTTCGTGAGTGCACGAATTCATATTCTTTGGGTTTTTGGTAAGTCATGCAGATAGTTTTGTTATTTTCTTTGAACCTATCTACGTGACTTTACCGAAAGAACCAAAGAAGAATAATATAATTCTACGTGATTTCCGCCATTGTTGTTGTAATAATGGATGCCGAGTCACTCTCCATTTCCTGAGTGCGTGTACACTCTTTCAATCATTGGTGACTATACTGTACTGATGAGTTTTAATAATGATGAATCTGGTCTACAGTTGTCTCAGTCTCAATGCTGCCTGTAGGTCACATTTCCTCAAATTAATTCAAGGATGTCCTTCGACAAGAGAATGGCAATGTAGTTATTCAGGAACTGTTGATGATTTTGCATATTGTAAGAGGTTGAGTGCTTTTTATATATAATGTATAACATGCTTAATGTAGATTCACACCACTGACAAGAGTGGTAATTAAACAGTTCATACCGGAAGGTGAGTTTGGTGCGGAAGACTGCCTGCCCCTGCAGCCCAGTGCCTTGGCGAATGAAGAGATGGTTGTGGTCGCCTTGTAATGGGGCCTTGTGGACATCAAACACCTCATTTCCCAGATGCAGTGACATGCTGTTCACAACAGTGGATATTACACAGTTAAGCAGCAGACCATTAGCCACATAACACAGATAAGTACTCAATCTCGTAATCAAATCCTTTACAAAAATGCCGAAAATCTGATTCTAAATAAAGAAAACCAAATCATTTAAATGTCAATAAATTAACCATTGGATACCTAATTAATTTTTAAACCTGTGCTATAGTAGGACTAATAAAAAATGTATATTATCTTAGCAGTGATAATTATAATTATTACGTCACACGTAAAGTAATTAGAGTAATACCTCGGTTTATGACGGGGATGCGTTCCTGAAAAGTGCGACGATTATCAAAATGACGTAAATCAAAGCAATTTACAGGTAGATGGAGACGAAAGCCGAGGTCACAGATACGAGAAAGGACGGATGATGCTGTCAGCGGCGTGTGGTTTGGGACGACACAAATCATGTGGTGGTATTGATAAAGTGACGACGTTGCAAAATGATGTAAAAGGGGGAGCTGTAAATATAAGTATTATTGTATCTTAAAACACTTTCGATGTAAGATGATTCGTTATTACGTTCGTCAAATTCCACTTTTTTGGGGTGTATATTGTTTGTTTCGAGATTACATTCATTTAAAAGTCTAAATATTTTTTGGTGAAATAAAAGCAATACACCTACAGTAAATGCACATTGTCACTTGTCCGTGCATGCATTTTATACAGTTCCGAGCCATTTTGCCTGGCTGTGTCGTTCAAACTACTATTCGTTCCACCACGCTTTGGATTGTACATTCTCCCAAAAAGGAGGTGGCAGACAATCCGCCTACTGCCCCTCCCTCACCCAGTAAACCGTCTACCCTTCAACACCTCACATGAAGTGCACCGCAGTTTTTGGTTCGTTTTCATGTACAGATACGCTATAGCAGGAGATAAAGGGCAGCCCATTGCTGCTCCTTGCTTTTGTAAAGTAAGATTTGGTACGGTACACAAAATTGAAAAACTAGTGTCTTGTACTAAAGATGAATTAACGAAGTTATCAACAAAAGGTGTGTATCGGATCGATTGCTTATGCGGTAAATGCTATATTGGACAGACGGGACGTAACATTAGCGTAAGACTAAAAGAACACCAAAGGAACATTAAATTATCTCAAACGCAACTGTCAACAGTGGCAGAACATGCTTGCCAACAAGGACATTCAATTGATTTTGATAACGTTGAAGTGTTATGCAAAACTAATTATTACTGGCCAAGACTAATTAGAGAATCCATCAAAATGGAGATGACAAATCATTTAAACCGCTCTGATAGCTACAGACTCGGCGCAGCCTGGAAGCGTATTACTCTGTTTTTTTTTCGGTAAAGTCACGTATAAATAGGAAATAATAAAATAACATAACAGTGTACGACGTTTATGTTATTTTATTATTTCTTATTTATACGTGACTTTACCGAAAAAAACAAAGAGTAATTCCTGCAGTCACGAAAGCTTCGAATCAAGTGGAAGTGTATTATTAAGTAATACACAATACATATTGCAATTCCTTATAGAGGAGTCGCATGCTAAGTGGCTGATTACTGATCTATTACATAATTGCAATACCCCCCCCCACCTCCACCTCTGATCTCGAAACCTGATGGGGTTCAACAATGATGACGTCACCCTGAACTGTTTAAGACCGGAAGCAGGTGGATGGCTTCACTAGCAAATCAACCCGAAGATGCTGGATGTAATTTCCAGCGAAACGTGGTACTCAAATTCTAAATGTTGTGGATTTACTTTTCAAACGCACCGGTGGGCTGAAGAAGTAACTAATTGGCGTTTTGTTCACGTGACATTTTTTACTGATTGGCTGTGTCGGGTGGTGGACTGTTGCGACATTTATAATAAGGCAATCTAACCCAAGAACCTTTATTATGAATAGTAGAGATAAGTTTAATATTAAAAAAAATTCACAAAATCTGTTCGCAAACCACTTGGCCACTCAGGCTTCCATACAAAATATGAATTGCTTTAAACGAGCCAATTAATTGATTGATGCCGATTTTGTCTCCGGATATTTGAGTACGTGTGCAAATTTGGGATCTATTGGACAACGGGAAGTGGACGAAATTTTGATTACAAGGTTTGACCACGACAAACAGAGGAATCAAGTTAAATAAAACCGTTGAAAAAACATTAGATTTTTAAGACAATTTTGGATCTTTTTCGGATGTTTCGATCATTTCCATTGTTTACAAATGTAAAATGTCTTTGCACTACACTAGTCACGCTACCAGATTCCATGTCACATGAACTTGTGGGAAAAGTGCATAAGTGCATAACATCATATTAATGATGTCACTCCCAGTTATGGATCAATCTGAAACAAAATATTCGTTTGAAATTCATCACTAAATTTCACATCTAGGCCTGATTTTAAAATATTTTTCTTTAACCTGAAAAATTGGAGCACATCCGTAAAGTGTGACTGGGCATGAGAATGTTAATCGATGCCAATTTCCCAAGTAAAGTCGGTTTACAAAAGTGGGAACATGGATTTAAACTGCATGAATAAATGGAACAAGAAGGCTAGTTTAGTAAGGATGGGGCTGCTCTATGGCAGTCATCTTGGAAGGCAAGTAGAAGCAGTGTGACGTTTGTGCAGATCCAGTACCTGCCATCGGACCAGCGGATGAAGCGTGCATTACTTTCCTTCACCTCGTTTCCATCATCATCCCGTATCGTACGCCACCTTATTGTGTTTTCAACCTGTGGTATAAGAAATTAGGCACTCCGGAATGCAGATCATGTTTATAGTTTCTTAATTTAAGCACATATACATCGGTGACTTAATCCAATAACTCTTATTCCACTATGGGTGGCATGTGAATGGAGTAATTTAGCCTGGTATGGGCAGGATGTGGGTTCGATCCGGACCCTGATGCCTGTATATTTGTAGTCTGCATGTGCTCCCCGTAGTCATGTAGATTTTTATCTGCATCCTTCGGTTTTTCTATCCATATTTAGAAACAGGCATTTATATGTATTTGACAACTCTAAATTCCCACATATGAGAAGCAAGTTTGTCGAGCTACCATGTGTGGCCAGGTCGCCTCTGAAAAATAAATAATAGCTCAGAAGACTACCTGATCAAATAAAAAATGTAGTCTACAGTAAATCCTATGTGATGGATCTTACACAAAGTTCAAGTAATAAATTATGGGTGCCAGATGCAAAATAGATCCACAAATATTGTTTAATCTCCTCAATAGTTCCCCTGCTGCAGTGTTTACAGCTTCACAGATGATGAACGTATCATGTCATGCATGTGAAAGGTCCAAGGTAAATAAACAAAATCAGTATAGCAGTATTCATTTTAAGTTTCTGCCATTGAAGGAAAGTACTGATTTCGGTCATGCACACACACATTTTCCTCTGTATCCCTATCTCATCTTCAAGCAAGCCTCGCATACTTTAAAATAATGAGATTTGTATGTAGAGCTACAGGTTTAATGATATAGGCTCACCCAAATTAATTTAAGAATATGGTTATGTCATTAGGTACAATTGTGAAACAGGCAACACCTTTCGGATGACAGCAGTTGGTAAAACAAAACAATTATTTATAATTTTAGTTTATTTTGACGAAGAACAAATAACAAACTGGATTAACGATCAAAATACCATTTACCTTCAATTTCAATCTCGTGCGTCCCTCTTCATCCATTGTTTCATCATCTTCGAACTCATCTTCATAATATTGGGGATCAAATGGCCTGTTGAAAGGGATAAACATTAAATACACTGAGACCTGCATAAAATATGATGTTAACTAAGTCGCCTGGTATACAGGAGGACGTGGGTTCGATCCAGACCCTAACACCTGCTGTATATTTGAAGTTTGCACATTCTCCCCGTAGTCGCGTGGATTTTTCTCCAGCTCCTCCGGTTTCTCCCTCCATATTTAGAAACGCGTTTAGAGTATTTGGCTGGTATAAATGACCACGTGATAAGCCACTTTGTTGAGCTATCACAGGTCACGTCTGAAAAAGAGCAATGTAGCTCAGTGGGCCTTACCTGGTGAAATAAATATTTTTTTAAAGTTTAGTTTTTAATGGAGGACATGCTGTCCAGCAAGTAAATTTCCATCAAATGTTTAAGTCAGAAAAATTGAAAATACATGTCACAGTCATGAGAATGCACACATAACAAATTATGTCCTGGATCCACCTAATATGATCCAAGGCAAAGTGCTGGAAGATACAATAAATGAATTATGCATGTTTGAGAGAGCAGTACTGTCTGTGTTACTGTACGGGTCAAAGATGTATACCAAATACATGATAAAAAGAGCTTCTTGAATTTCATACAAGGATGGGGTAACTAATTGAGATGTATATTGAGAACATGGGAAGTAAACATGCATAGGTAAATAGAAAGTGTATGTTACGATGCATAGGGAACATGTGCAACGAAGCAATGAGTTGGTTTTCAAGTGAGGTATGATCAAGAAAAGACCTTGAGTTAAATGGTAGGATACTCTAAGATCGAACATTAAGTTTCAATGTTAACTGTGCATCAGTTTCAGGTTCTAGTAAAAGGGAGCGACGGTGAGGCGTGGTGGATTAAACAGAATTATGATGCATTTGTGATGTTGGGTGCAGCTACTGACAGTTAACATGGAGACTGGTTAATTTAATTCACAAATCCCATACAGAAGGATCAAGAACATTAAAGAAGACTTCATGCCTTTATGAAGTCAAGCGCCTAACGAAGTGAATACATTATTCAGAGGTTGTGAAGGATGCTTGGAATTTCATGGCAGGATAATTTAATTTCGAAGCACAAGACAGAATGTGATAAAAAAAAAACATTGCAGATATAATGAAGAAAGGGAGATTACAACGATATATTTGTGGAATGGAGGGTTGGTTACCAAGGTAATGACTCCGGGAGCCAGAGGATAGGCAAGGGAGAATCATGTATTTTTAGCAACATATGCAACCATTGCAACATTTCTCTCAAGGGTGAAATATTGTAATGTTTTTTGGCAACATGTGTTGCATGGTATCCATGGCATTACATAACTTCCTTGGTTCTGCCATGTGAAGAAAAATATCAATTTCCCTGTATATTGTAAATTTGAATAAAATTCAAACAAAATAATGTTACGAGTAAATTCCATCATTCCGAACTTTGCAAAGTACTGATATAAGTGCACGTTTCGCTAAAAATAGGTGGTATCTAATGATTTAGGTTCAAACATTATTTTGCATCCAAAAAATTATTTAGTGAACTGTTCAACATGGTAATTTTAAATGGAGTGTTACCTCCTTGTCTATTCTTATTTCATAACATACTGCCTCAATACCATGCATGCCACGAAGTCATATTTAGGCTACCTACATAAAATATTTGAAGTAAAAATATTATCTACCTAAACACATTCAGAGATTAGCCTTCAGAGTAGATGCACTAGCTATATCATCACCAAGGCAGAGCATTTTCAGAAGAAATAAATGCGACTTAGAATTAGTGCCAAACATAATTTAATAGCATGTCAATGATTGCTCGACGAGACAACATAACAGCAAGGCCCCAAGGAATCACGCACCTTGTTTCCACGCTGAGGAAGTTGGGAAGCTTGACAAAGTATAGCTCGTTGCCAAGGTCTGTGTTCACTTTGGGGATCTCTACCTCGATACGAGTCTCTGGAGGAGGTGCCTCAGTTGGCTCTTGTTCACCATCTTCTCCGTCCTACACACCAGCAGAAAGTGTGTAATACATAGGTAGCACACACGAAACACACATGCAACCCGATTTAACATAAACACAATCATGTATATGTAGTGACATCGCTGGATGTCAACATGCTGGGTGCAGTGCCGGCCCTAGAGGGGCACGACGTGCGGTGTAGCGACATCGCGGATACAAGAGTGGTGTGGGTGTAGTACCGGCCCTAGAGGGGCCCAGTGAGCGCTGAATATAATAGCGCTGGATGGCACCACGCTTCACGTGCAGTGCCGATCCGACAAGACAGGGTGTGTGGGTGCCAGCCGAAGGATGAGGTTACGTGAGGCTATGGCACTCTGGTTGACCTGGGAGGACACGTGACCAGTTAAGTTGACAAAGGGGCCCCAAGAGGGGGCTAGGGGTGGTCACGTGATTGGGACCCAGATCCTTCCCGAGGATTCTAGAAGGTGGACGTGGCCAAGGGCGGAGCCGGCCATGCCACAGAGAATATAATCCGGGTCCCAAGAGGGACCAGGGTTGTTGTTCATCCTGGAAGGTCCTCCGTTCAACGAGTCTCCAACACGTGGACCCGGGCCGAAGCTGTTGGTCCCGGTCCGTAGTAACAGTTACGTTGTAATTAGTGTAGTTAGCCTAGTGGTCACAACTATAGGTTGTTATTCTGTTAAGGGGAAAGTTACCCCTTGTGTTGTAACTGAATAAATATGTTGCCTCCAAGTCGACATCTGCGACTCAGTTGAACCCATTACATATATGTAGTTTTAACTTTCATATTTTTACTTGGAAATTTAATACCTTATATATTTGAAAAATAAATCTCACAATTTGTTTAATTAAAACGGTAGAAAGTTGATTAATAATTCAACTATACACTGATCTGCAGGAAAAAAAAAATAAATGCAGATTGTACATACCAGGAGCACACAGTGAGAAACATAAAGACATCAGAAATTTGTGTTATACCTTAAGACATTTGCAATAACGACTTCACCACAACTTTGCCATAAGTTGGTTCGGAGCCAACTGTATTACACCGAATTTGCAGTTTTTGTTACTCACCAATGGCCGACCAGGTGTAGCAGGCTTTCTTTCCTCATCGCTGTCTGACGAGATGTCATCCGCATCGCCAAACAGGGTGTCCACTGTGGCTTTCTTATCTGAGGCAGGAGATGGGTGTTCAACAAGTACAGAAACATAATGTTGTGCACTGCAGTTCAATGGACAAGTATAATAATTTCTATTTAACACTAACACGCAAGACATTTAAATGTATGAGATACACTTATCTTCCACATATATGCAAGCCCTCATGTATGCAAAAGTATGGAAATGTTTAAATAAAGGTATCTCTATACTCAATGAGTCTGAGAAAATATTTGCAGTTCAAAGCGTTTTTTTTTTAAAGTCTACATTATTCGCAGGATAATAGCTGTTTACAGTTAAATTAAGCAAGCTGAAACTGCCATTTATCTACGGGAGGAGTAATACACATAAACACCAGCACAATTACCAACTGCAAGATGTATTTTTTTCCTGTTAAAACATGAGATGTGAAATCCTTATCAAACTCGAACATGAACACATTGATAACCAAACAAACGACAGGAGTGCAGTACATGGCAAACTTAATTAATATCTCAAAAGATGTGTACACGTGAACATTGGAACAGAGCTGTTCAAAAGACAATGCTGAAACTGTGCTTTATTAGCCATATGCTACAATGGCTTGGACTCTACCTTATTCATCAGCAGACATGATCAACCTGTGATCCAACAATTCACCCAGCACCTGGACTAGTGGACTATCTCCATGGTAAACGTACTTACAGATGCATTTATGCCCTTGAATGCCATGTCGTTATTCTCTAGAGACATGTCCTGCCGAAACCCACTTACTTTTCTAAACAAAATGCCTATAACCTATGATCTGAATTTTTTTCTTATTTTTCTCTCTCAATGTCATTCCGAGCATCTCTCCATACTTTTTCATGCCCCTTGAAGATTTTATTATATTTTTTCCTCATTAATGTCCACATTTCGGATTCACATTTCACAAGTAAAATGCACCAATTCAACAGTTTCTTTTTTGGTCACTTGATACGTTGATACGTTGCTTCGCACCATTAAGATCAGCTTATAAAATAACTTTCATCAGCTTTGTCCACCTCCCTTTTTCATCATTTTTATTCCAGTACACTTTAATAACTGTCCTAGGTACACATTATTGTTTTCCAGTTGAATCCTTCCAAACAATATCTAATTATCATGACCTTTGTTTTCCTCAAATTATTCATGGGCCCAACTTTGCAGCCGTCTTTATTGATATTTTCAACTTTTAACACATTATTTTCACGCTCTCAAAGGGAAACCACGGACGAGCCGGGGGCAGTAGTTTCTAAAGTTTTGTGTAGTTAATTTTCTATAAATTCCTTACTAGTGGATGTGTTTTACTCCACTCCTTAAAATATGATGTACTCAATGCTAGTGACCAATGTGGTGACATCGATATGTTTAAGAATGTACCTGCTGCTGTGTCAGAGTCGCTGTCAGAGCCGGAGTGCGTGGCCACGGTCCTCCTGGGCTTCCGTCCAATTTCATCTTCACTGTCACTACCACGCGCTGAGTGTTGCTCTGTATCTGCAAGTATGTGCGCATATGTACACAGGTGTGTATATATACAAGTCAAATAATATCGAGCAAGGTCGTAATTCGGTTTGACATCACAATGCTAACAGCGTTATTATTTTCCATACCATGTGTGCTTTTATTTAGGGTAAGTGGAGACAATGTAACATTTGATAGAATGGGCACTGAGGGAATGAAACGTCCTCCAAATATTGTACAGTACTTTATAACTTGCTAATTAAATAAGTGTCTAAAAGCTGTGTCGTGAAAAAGCTTCACAATTATATTTAACCACGTCATTACATTTTAATATTTGATGTTAAACTAAATGTTATTACATTATTAATTACATACTGTTTAGCAACAATTCGATTTTAAATATCCTCAATTACGGTACTATGCATGGGGATATAAAGCATGACTTTAAAGGGCAATAACTGTGAATATAGTAGGAATGTTAAACAGTTTTCACTTAAAATCCTAAGAAACATATCACTCCATCAATAAGTCGTGGTGGCCAGTTTACCAGATATACGCCGACTGTCTTCATGTTCATTGTTTGAATGAGCCCTCTCCTCGTCAGACTCCTGGGCTTTCTCATCCTCCCCTGCAGAGCGGGGGCTCGCCTGCTCCCTATCCGAGCCCTCGGCTGCTGATCTGGGGCTTGAGGGGCCCCACAGGTCGCCCTCGTCCACATCTGTATTCTGGCCCCCCTCACTGTGCCTGTCCTCCACATCCGAGGGACGGCCGTCCTCAGAGCGGCCGCTCTGTGGTTCTTCTGCATCAGAATGGTGGCCCTCGGACACGCTGTGCTGCTCCTCCGCGTCCGAGTGGTGGGTTTCCGAGCCGCTGTGATGCTCCTCCGCATCAGAATGATGGGCCTCGGAGCCGCTGTGGTGCTCCTCCACGTCTGAGTGGTGGCCCTCCGATCCACTGCGGTGTTCCTCCACGTCCGAGTGGTGGGCCTCCGAGCCACTGTGGTGGTCCTCTGCGCCACTGTGGTGGTCCTCTGCATCAGAGTGGTAATTGTCATCGTTGTGTGCAGACGCGGCTGACGCGGCTGACACGGCAGAGTGCTCGGAGTGGTTGTCACCGTGCCGGGAGGCAGCGTCTTCGTCACTGTCATCACCAAACAGCTCCTTGTTGCTGGGTTGGGCTGCTTGCCTCTCATCGTCCTCGTCGTCTTCCTCCTCCTCACCGGCACCCTCCCGCTCACTCCCGCTCGCCGATCTCCCGCTCAGGGACTCCGCCCGTTCATGCTGCTGCTGCTCATGCTCAGACTCCGAATCGGAGCCAAATGCTAGTAGGGCATAAACAAAACCGAGTGACAAATGGTCGTGTTAATTATTTGTCATGTTTTTTTTTATGATTACATTCAAATTATTCACGTACTACAACTCTACTTGGCTATAATTATGGGAAGAAACATGCTACTGATAATTGTTAACCGCGACCATATCGCATGACGGTGATTAAGTTATATTTGTGTGTGTACAGCTCATCACCAATTATCCCGGCTGCTTGCAACATTAACCCCCCGGGTCCTGGACCGATCCGGCGAAATCGGCACTACGTGTGTGGTAAAACAAGTAGCTATGCTTGATTTCACTGTCAAATACATCACACACTACGTAACTGAAACAATGAAAAGAATGCACGTATGTTTTTTTCATGACTAATGGATAAAGTAATTTTTATTAAAAAGTGAAAATAGAGTGCGATCCGGCGTTCGCCGGAGCACCGGTCTAAAGGCTGCATCAGTCCGGCGATCGTAGAACATAAAATCATCACATGCAGAGTCTTGGAGTGGTACGCTACAAGTCACTTTTTACAGGATATTTTTTTGTCTATTTACGTGTATTTAATGTTATTCAAGAATGTGCAAAAGTAAGCTAATTTAAATAACGTTGTGATTACCAGGCGTTTGTGTAAATCCCGTCGCCCCCTCCCCCCCCGAGTAACTTGGTGATCTCTACTGAACTCGTGTGCCTAGCGGTGAGCGGTGATTATCTGAACCGATCCTGGGCCCTCCCCCAGGGAGTAAAACGTCGCCACGAGGGAGACAAAGGCGGTCGGGCGTGGTGCTGGCCACCAACCCCTCTCGCGTGTGCCGTGCCGGCCTTCATAGGCGCCGCTCGCTAACAGCACTTGCCCCAACAGTCTGTTAAAGATACACGGGGTGGGGGGGGGGCGGTGGGTCTTTGTCTTGTTTAGGATATTGTTTATCTCGGAGACATTGTTTATCTCTAGGACATTGTTTATCTCTAAGACTTTGTTTATCTCTAGGACATTGTTTATTGTTTATCTCGAACAGTGCCCACGCCTCGCGGCACAGGCGAGGGCGCCGCGAGGCCTGTCCCGGCTCGGGCCCCGAACCTCGCCTTGCCTAGCCGCGTTTGCCGGGAGAAGCGCGAGGGTCTCCGGCCGCGCGTCGCGATCCGCGGCGGGGGAGGGGGGGGGGGTCGGATGTGGTGGGGGTTGGGAGTCGGGGTGGTCACCATGGGACGCGCGCTCCGCCTCGCTGTCGTCGTCGTCGTCGCTGCCGAAGAGGCCGTGCATGTCCGCCATGGCGAGCCGTGCTCGTTGACGAGGCGGCAGCTTCCAGTGGGCTAAGGGCCACAGCGGCGCGGGGTGAACGTCGCAGTTTCGCGACTCCTCGATTCGACGGCATTCGATTCTCGTGCGGCGACAACGGCTGCATCGATTAGTCGATTCATTATATAATCAGTCGTCTGTGAAATTTTTGATTTAAAGCTTTCGTGACTGCAGTAATTCATATTCTTGGCTCTTTCGGTAAAGTCACGTTGAAGGGAAACAATAAAATAATAAAATGTATATAAAACAATAAAAATTCTCACGACGTTTCGACCATAACACAAACGGTCGTCATCACCTCAAACGGTCGTCACCTGATGACGACCGTTTGTGTTATGGTCGAAACGTCGTGAGAATTTTTATTGTTTTATATATATTTTATTGTTTCCCTTCAACGTGACTTTACCGAAAGAGCTTAGAATATGAGTCATCTGTGGTTTCATAGGGCTCAGGAAACATTCAGCTAAGTAGCTGCATGCGGCCGTTTTAAAGGACTGGATTGCGGCTCATGAAATGTTGACGGGTTATTTTTTTTTATTCGAAAAAAAAGGCTCTTGTTATTTTAGTTGCTTACCCCTGACTATGGCAGTCCATATTCTTGGTGCTTTCGGTAAAGTCACGTAAAAGGGAAACAATAAAATCATAAAAATATAAAACAATAAAATTCACACGACGTTTCGACTGCAAACACAAGCATGACGATTGCTTGTGTTGCAGTCGAAACGTCGTGAGAATTTTATTGTTTCATATTTTTTGTTTTCCTTTTACGTGACTTTACCGAAAGAACCAAGAATGTGAATCCCTGCAGTCACGAAAGCTTTAAATCAAAATTTATGGAAGTCCAGTTTACTTACCATGGCCAACGTGAGTCCAGTTTACTTAGGAGGCCGTCCATAAATGACGTCACGCACCAGGGGGGGGTGTCAGACATTTGTGACGATGTGTGACGTCACATCAAAATGCGCAACTTTAAATAAATATAGACAACACGTTCTACTTAATTGAATAGACGTTTTAATAAATGTTTTCTCCTACAACATCAGAGTGCAGGACCACATTGAAGCATGTTTTATATTTATTTTGGGGGGGAGGGCAGAGCTTTGTGACGTCAAATTTGAGGAGGGGGGGGTCTGACTTTTTGTGACGCCGTGTGACGAGGAGGGGGGGGTCAAAACTCGTCCAAAAACGCGTGACGTTATTTATGGACGGCCCCTTACCATGGCCAATGGGAGTCCGGTTTACCATGGGAGTCCCGATTACCGTGGAAGTCCAGTTCGTTCGTTTCTCAATCCACTTGTCCCTGTGAGGGTCGCGGTGGCAGGATGTTGAGTAGGGCGGTCCAGCCCTCCCTTTCCCTGATGACAGACTCCAGCACTACATTACTATACACTACCACACTATACACTACTATACATTACAACACTATACACTACGCTACTATACACTGCACTACTATACACAGACTCTAGCTCTTCCTGGGGAATTCCCAGGCGTTGCCAGGCCAGCCGAACGACATTGTCCCGCCAAGCAGCGTGTCCTGGGCCGGCCCCTTGGCCTTCGCCCAGTGGGACGTGCTGCTGCCCGGTAGAGTTCCAGGGGGAGTCTACCGGGGGGCATCCTTACCAGGTGCCCGAACCACCTCAACTGACTCCTCTCGATCTGGAGGAGCAGCGGCTCGACTCTGAGGCGCTCCCGGATTACCGAGCTCCTCACCCGATCACGAAGAGTGAGCCCGGCAACCCTGCGGAGAAACCTAATTTCGGCCCCATGTATCCCTTCAGTCATTACCCAGAGCTTATGACCATGGGTGAGGGTGGGAATGTAGATCGACCTGTAAACCGAGAGCTTTGTTCGAGAACTCAGCTCCCGCTTCACTACCATGGAACGGTACAGCGCCCGCAACACTGCGGATGCCGATCTCCGCTTCCACTTATCATCACTCGCGAAAGAGACCCCGAGGTATTTAACTCCTCCGCTAAGGGCAGCTGTTCCCCCCTCACCTGGAGAGAACAATCCACCGTCTCCTGGGAGAGAACCATGACCTCAGATATGGAGGTGCTGATCCTCATCCCAGCCGCTTCACTCTTGGCATCAAACCGCTAAGGTGCACTCTGGAGATCACAGACTGACGAGGCAAAGAGGACAACGTCATCTGCAAAAAGCAGCGACGTCAACCTCCATGCCCCCATACTGTATACATACCTCGGCTGCACCTTTATCCTGTCCATGAAAATCACAAACAGGAGTGGAGACAAGATGCACCCTTGGTGGAGTCCAACACCCACAGTGAACGATTTTGATTTAACACCAAGAATAAAGACAGCTTTAACTCCAGGAATAGAGGGACCGGATAGCGCACAAAAGCGGCACCGGTACATTATGCTCCTGCAACACCTCCCACAAGACATTACGGGGAACACGGTCATATGCATTATCCAAGTCTACAAAGCAGAAGTAGACTGGAGAAGGATACTCCCATGACCCCTGAAATATCTGTGAGAGGGAAAAGAGCTGTTCAATTGTTCCACGACCATGGAAGTCCAGTTGACCAGGGAAGTCCAGTTTACCCTGGGAGTCCAGTTTACCACGGGAGTCCAGTTTACCACGGGAGTCCAGATTACATGGAAGTTCAATTTACCATGAGAGTCCAGTTGACCAGGAAAGTTCAGTTTACCATGGAAGTCCAGTTTACCCAGGGAGTCCAGTTTACAATGGGAGTCCAGTTAACCATGGGAGTGCAGTTTTCATGGACCATGGGAGGTCAGTCTACCATGGGGGAGTCCAGTTTACCATGGGCAGGAGTCAGCATCCTGCGGCTCCAAAGCCGCATGCGACTAAAAATATAGAGGTTTATTTCAATGAAAAAAGCCTCTTATTTTGGTTTTGATCTATATTGATGCATTCCAACATATTCTAATGTTGGGTATTCATACATTTACAATAGTGTAGATTCCAATATTTTCATGAATATTAAGTGTTGTTTATACTAGATTAATTACATTCATCAGCTATAAATTCACCACTCCAAGGATAACATATATCGACAACACAGCCCCCATGTGGTAGTCCCAATTCTTTGCCGTTCATTGACATGTGACAACATGGTCGTCAACGTACCATTATAATGTTCTACCATTCCGTGTGTCTGTGGGTGATATGGTGAAGTATGATTTTTTCCTAGTCCCGGATGCTTGTTTGTGAACAGGGCCACCACTTATGCATCTATAGACTACTCAACATTTTTCTTAATGTATAGGAGGCAAATAGATACATAGAAGCCTATGCTGTGAAAAAATCCACGGGATAATGAAGGATTGACTAAGGATTTGCCACATTACCCTACATACGCTGCAGGAGCATGCAAAATTAGCGAGTGGTGAGCTCCAAGATAAGGGAATTGCATGGCGGGACAGAATAGTTAGGATCCAGTGCGACAAGTTGGGGATGGGTCTGTTCTATAAGAAAAATACATGCTGTGGTACGTAAGAAAATGTAACCATTAATATTTGTCTCGACTATTGTGGCTGATTTTTTATCTGACAATGCCCATGTGAAGTACTCCATTAGCACCAAAATATATTTATTCCCTTTCTCAGGTTTTGAGCATGGTCCCAAGATATCTAGCGCCACCGCTTCATTTACTCTCTCAATCCGAATTGATCCTCGTGGTTGACTGCTGGTGCTGTGTCAGTGGCTTGCATTGGGCACACTCGTCACATTCTCTAATCCTTCTCCACATCTGCGGCCGCCCCTGGCCAAAAATATTTAAGTTCCAATTGTGCCTGTGTGCACTGAACCCCCTAATGAATTGCCCGATCCCCATCGAGGCAAGCCCTTGACACAGCTCGTGTCAATCTCTGCTGTACGACAATAGTCTTACACTGGGTCAACCGGTCTACCCTTTTGAGGACTCCTTGATATATTTGCATATCCGAATAATCTATCGTACCCTCTTTACCCTCCTGTTTTGCAATCCCCTAAACCAGGGCTCGGCAACCTGTGGCACAGGAGCCGCATGCGGCTCTTTAAGAACTGCTTCGTGACGTTATTCACATGCTTTGCAGCTCTTGAAATATATATTTTTTTGCCGAATTTGAAAAGAATAGCTCTTGTTATTTTTACTCTTTGTGTCTTTCGGTAAAGTCACGTAGATAGGATATAATAATCACGACGTTTCGATTCGCAACACAAGCAATCGTCTTCAGGTGAAAAAATACAGCAGGCAAACTGCTGTAGAACTACTGCAGCAAGAGGTTATATAGGTTTGAGATGGGTACAACCCAAGGGTAAGTGGGCGGGGCTAGAGATATCATTTACAAGTAATATACCTCAGCCATTGTATTGCTAGAGATTAGCATGTCAATCTGTTAATGTAACCACACGACTACGGTCCTGAAGAAGCCATTGTATTGCTAGAGATTAGAGATTAGCATGTCAATGTGGTATCGTTACCGCAGCAGCGGCTGTGTTAATGAGACACATTCAGCTTATTAAACGAGAGCCACCGCCACATCGAGGAAAAGGGAAGCAGCGGCTATGTTAGTGAAACATTTAGCCTGTTAATGTAAATACATTTAACAAGGTAATGTAACTCAGAGAGTCGGAAATAACTGTTAACATCGACAGGTAGGATGGAAGCATCACAGACAGTTATGACTTTACCTGGTTAATAACATCCTTCCAATGATTGCTCAGTTTGTACCCATCTTCTCGGTTGAAATTGTGTCTGTGTTTATATATCTGGATGGCTTCATGAACATATCTTTGTTGATAGCCAGTGGGTTTGCATAGTTCCTTCGTCTTGGAGAAATCAATTTCATGTGTGCCCACAGCGTTAAAACAATGATAAGCCACGGCAGAGGTATTAGTCCTACCGTGTTTCAGCTCCGCCTTGTGTTCACGAACACGGTCTGAGACATGTTGCTTGGTTTCTCCAATGTAACTGCTACCGTAAGCAGAACTTAGTTTGTAGACACTGGGGTATTGCATGTCAGGGATTACATCCTTCACAGATGGGATCAGATCACGAATTTAATGTACTGTGTTGAATCGAACCTGGATCTTGTGTTTGCTCATATTTTTGGTGACACCTGCTACGTATGGCAAGGTGGTGGTTT